TCTTTGTCACACAAATAAAACGAAAGACGTTTACAATTCTCTGCAATGTCAAATTAGAGCGCAGCTCTTGAGGAGGAGGAGGGAAGGGTATGGAGCGGAGGGTACCTCCCCTCCCCCCCCCCCCCCCCTCCACTCCTCATCTCCTGCTCCCCTCCTATTTAGCGGGGGAAAATTTCCCCGCCAAATTTAGCGGGGAATCTGTTTCGCTATATATATCGGTAAATTTTTCCGCTAAATGTAGGGGGATTTTTTTCCCGCTAAACTTAGCGAGAATTTTTTACGCTATATTTAGCGGGGAAAATGTTCCGCTAAAATTAGCGGGGAAGTTTTTCCGCTAAATATGGCGGAGAAATTTTTCTGCTAAATTTAGCGGGGAGTTTTTCGCTAAATTTAGGCACCGTGTCACGTAACGAGGGTGACGTGCCATCATGCAACGCGCGGTTACGCCGACGGCGACGCCGCTCAAGCCGGAAACGAGCGCCTAAGAGCAGCGCTCTAAAAAGTATCATTCAGGTACAAACTGGGCATGCAATACCAAAGTTGAAAGCTGGGCTTGTTGGTGTAGGCTAAACATAATGTAGGTAAAACAGCGCAGAACGACAAAGATTAGAAGGAAGAAACAAACAAGACGGGAGAGGCGCTGTCCGAAAGCAAAACACGCAGTTCATTGTTCACCAGCGCCTGTCCCGTCTTGTTTGTTTTTTCCTCCTAGTCTTTGTCGTTCTGCGCTGTTTTACCTACATTATGTTTGGGCATGCAGTATTTAAGGAGCGATCGTTTAAACCTGTTTAGGGTATATGTGTCAAGGTAAGTCCTCCTTACGATGGAAACGAAGTTTGAAATAGGGGTGGCCCGGTACTGCCTAACATATCGTGCTACGATCAACTACAGTGGTGTCTGTAGGGAACATTGGCAAGTACTAGATTGTGAGCTTAACAAATACCTCCCTCCACCCCCCCCCCCCCCCCCCCCAACCTTCAATAAGAAAATATAGGGAAAAGCTTTTTTTCTATGGACGAACGTCTTGCTAAACCTTCAATTGTAAAAAAAAAATAAAAAAAAAGAAACGAAGAAACACTTTTTTTAGAGGGGGGGGGGGGGGGGGGGAGCAAACGAACGGCTAAACTCTGGAAAGGGTCATTCGTAACAACACCCTCCACCTGAAACATGACACAAGTATACATTTTTCGTAACAATGTGGAACAAACGTAAGAAAGCAGCACATCGAAGGTTTAAATGTAAATAAGGAGAAGAAGCAACGAAAACAAGGCAGATTATATACATATCCACCTGTACATACAAACAGGAATATGATATACAAAAGCATGTTACGATGCACACAAAACCACGAAGGCAAAATCTAAAGGTACGTTTATACTCCAACGTAACGTCGACGGGCGTGGCGTAGCGCAGCGCGCACAGTTACTGATTGGTCGCAGATATCGAGTTCCTGGCAGGGGGGTAAAGGTGGTTGATTAGGAGTGGCAAATCCCGTGCGCCGACATCCTGGGTCCCGAGTGAACGAACGCAAAAGAGAGCGACAGAACACGAGAGAAAGAACGCAACGTTGCCATGGTAACGCGAAGAGTGAAAACTCTCAGCAATATAAACAGTGATAATTTAACTTTGTAAACTAAATTATGAGCTATTCTAACGCTTATAAAAAGCAATAAATTCATTACGCTGCATTAACTTCCCTTCTGTCGAAATCTCGGAAATCTGGTGGTTGCGCAGTTTCGTATTCCTCAACCGCGCCCAGCCGCGCCCCACCGGCGAAGCGGAGGCATAGAGATCATATACTAAATCTAGAGGAAAAGGTCCGCCATTTTCCCATACATTCTGGCTGCCGCAAGCGGCGGACCATGCAGGCAGACCCTCTGGGTCCCAAACACGGTTACATCATCAGAGCAGTTTCGTGAACTTCAACAATCCACGAACTTACCAGTGGAAAGATATGCGCGTTCCTTTCGAAGCTTTCTTTTTGCATAGCGCGCAGATGTACGGCCTCGCGTTAACGCTAAACTAAACCATATAGACCTTTGCAAAAAGAGCGCTCTGGCCGCCGCCATTTTGCGAATCGAGCGACCCCTATCAGCCAGAAATTTCTGTCACCTGCCTGAGCTGTGGAAACCCGGTCAGCGTGACTCCCCACCTGCATTTTGCATTCGGAGTTCGCCGGCTTTTCTTGGAAGTTTTTACTTTATTCGCCTGTTTAGGATGCTTACCCTTTGTATGTTATCTTCCACTGTGAGAACCAGAGAATACCAGGGCTCGTAGCCTGCTCGGCCTTCGCAGGAAACGAACGAAGAGAGCGAACGTCAAGCAGCCCGCGACGCGGGCAGTTCGACGTTCTTGGAGGATTATTTCCGTTGAGATAATCTCCAAAAAGCCTTCCCGGCTGTGTTCCGGGTTTTCGCGAAAAATAGCTGATAGGGTCGGGTGCGGGGTGTGGGGACAGAATAGACACGTTCGTTCATTTGCTTTGAAGCTGTGCAAAAAAACTGCTCTCTTCTACATGTGCCCCAAAACACGCCGGATTCCGTCCGATCGTCGTGAAGTGACTATCGTCGACACTGTATATTGAATATGCTGTGTTATTTGAGACCATTCTCAAATCCTTTCGGATAACACGGCACCATGGGGTACGTACAATATATATTGTTCGATTGATGAGACTCATTGAATTTCATGTTGTGGACGGGGAATATCCATGCAGTTCGGATATCATGTGTGGTCAAATATTTTGACCTATATAGATTGACACGGCTGAGTGTACGGTGCCGTAAAACGATGAACATAAAATGAAACAAACATTCCAGTTGCATTTGTTCCGTCGCGTACGGACTAGCCAAAACAGCTTTCATTTCTTTGTTTTTGTTCCCAAAAATAGAGCACTGCTTTCTTAAATACCTCTATAAATTATGCTCGCCACAGAACACAAAATAAAAAAGAAAACGCGGCAATTCAGCCGCTACCAGCGTCCGGAATTGCGCCTACGCAGGCTGCCACAGCCTACTGACGAGAAACTCCACAGCTCAGCGTAGTCGGGCAACACTGACGTACACTCTCAAAACCAGGGACGCGCGCTGTAAATCGCTTCGTTCGAGACTGCCGCTGGAAAGGTCTATACCCGGCTTCGCTGGTGGGGCGCGGCTGGGCGCGGTTGAGGAATACGAAACTGCGCAACCACCAGATTTCCGAGATTTCGACAGAAGGGAAGTTAATGCAGCGTAATGACTTCATTGCTTTTTATAAGCGTTAGAATAGCTCAGAATTTAGTTTACAACGTTAAATTATCACTGTCTATATTGCTGAGAGTTTTCACTCTTCGTGTTTACCATGGCAACGTTGCTTTCTTTCTCTCGTGTTCTGTCGCTCTCTTTTGCGATCGTTCACTCGGGACCCAGGATGTCGGCGCACGGGATTTGCCACTCCTCCTCACCCACCTTTACCCCCCTGAGCGGAGGCCGTACATCTGCGCGCTTTTCAAAAAGAAAGCTTCGAAAGGAACGTGAATATCTTTCCACCGGTAAGTTCGTGAATTGTTGAAGTTCACGAAACTGCTCTGATGATGTAACCGTGTTTGGGACCCCGAGGGTCTGCCTGCATGATCCGCCGCTTGCGGCAGCCAGAATGTATGGGAAAATGGTTGTCGGCCAATGAAAGGCGCGGAAAATGGAAAATCGCTCACCTTACATCGCTGCTTGAGTGCTGGATGTCCGGAGGCTACCCTTGCGCGGAGAGGTGGAGTCCTCGATGGTGTGGCCGCCACAGCGGTTGCATCGAGGGGTGTTGAACGCCGCTCCGAAGTGTCCCTCCTCCACACCGCAGCGGGTACAGAGGCTTGCGTAACTTCGCGCGAATGTATTTGTAAGAAGGATGTATCGCAAATATGCATTCAATTTTGATGTTTTGGCTGAACTGCGCTGTGAAGAACCACGAATAAATGACACTGGTACTAGGAAAATAACATGATAATAAACAAGAAAGGCGTCCATTCTGGCGCGATATTTTGAATTACGCGCCAATATCAGACGTCAGGGTCGTAAGAGGGCCGCATGCCACAGCCGCCGAATATTATCCGCCGCTGTGTATTCCTCAACGTGGACGGTTCTCCTTCTGCGTTTTCCTGGTGTTGTCATTTTGTTCGACATTAAAGTTTGTTCATTTTTTCTCACCACAGTCTCAGGTGGTACATAATGTTTAAATTTCACCAGCTTCACCTGCGCCGGAAGAACAAATTTGGCTAGATGGCGCAAGAAACCACCCAATTCAGAAAATACAGAGGACAGCCATCAAGCGCAGAGCCGTGCCAGAGCCGTGAGAAGTGCGCAGAGCCGTATATGTAGAGAGTTTGGCCATTCGTTGGGAACTATAGGAGACAAATGAAGCGGCGCCATTGGCCGAAAGCGGGCTGGGCGTGTTCCAGGGCGTCTTCAGAAATTCGAATGTGACCAACCAGAAGCCGGAAATAATACCCTGGCGGTGGTCGCGAGAAACAAACCTGATAACTGCATTGGAGTAACTCTCGATGGCTGAAAATATGGTACACGTGATGTTTCAATCACACTCATCTAAAATGATGGTGGAAGAGTGTGACTAGCGGAAAGATCCACATAATCCTTACGCCAAACGCCAAGCGCCGGGAATCTGCCGTCAGAGCGGTCTCACTCTGTCCGCGCAAAACAGAGTTGAGCGGCGCATTCGTTTCTTACATCTTTCTGCATGATCATGATCGAAACATCATGTGCACCCTATTTTCAACCACAAAGAGTTACTACACTTCACTCTTACGCACTTATTAAAAGCATATACGAACATAGACCTTCGATGATCGATCGGCTCAGAACTGTTTCTCGCTACCACCGCTAGGGGATTCTTTTCGGCTTCTGGTTGGTCAAGAGAGCATGCCAAGCCCTCTTTCCGAGTCTGCCGCACGCCCTGGCTCTGCTCGCGCCTCCCATTGACCAAACTCTCTACATATACGGCTCTGGAAGTGCGCGATGCATCCACTTATTCTGAAGGCGTGACCGCGTGACTTTTCCGGCAGCGTGTTTGTGGTGTTTGTCATGCTGCGTGCGTGTTGCTTTTGAAACGCGACAAGTTTACTTAGCGACAAGGTCAAGCTATCTTTATGCAAAGAAGGGCGTCTGCTCGAGGCGTACGCGCATTCACGCTAATTGGAGCCAAGTGCTAGGTCGCTCAGTTTCCAAGTGGCCAAGCGTCGCCACAGTCGCCACCATCGCGGAAACAGCTGAAGCCGCTGAAGCGACAGCTGCGTTTAAAGTTTTGGTTTGAAAGATCAGCCAGCCGACCAAAACAGAACATGGGTAGGAAGGTGACTTTGGCGGTGTGCACGCTCAACCAGTGGGCGATGGACTTTGACGGGAATTACAAGAGAATCCTCAGAAGTAAGTTACTACACTCGTTTTGGCCCATAAGTGATGCGATCTCAAGATTCGACGCAGCGCCGTTCATCTGCGCCCTTCGGGAGAGTAAAATGTTTCGTCCGTTATTGGATGGCGTATAAACCGGGCAGACTCTTAAATGAGAGTCGGTAATGACTCCATCATTAACGTTTATAAAACAATAAAAGGATGACTAATCTGATTAGAACTGCACTGAGATGACAGTCATAATTTCGTGTCTTTTAAGATGTGCGCTCCTAAGGCACATTTTGCCCATGATGCAAACTCCACGGGCTTCTAACACTGTACCTCTATGTGCTCTTTTGTCAAGGTATAAAAGAGGCGAAATCCAAGGGAGCAGCTTTTCGAAGTGGCCCTGAGCTGGAAGTTCCGTGAGTCACTTCCGCTGATAAAGTATCCAGGGAAATAGTGCCACAGATGTTTCACGTGATCCTTCCAGTGAAACAGTGTCATGCACGTACTAGATGGCTCTTTCACTTGAACACCTGGGATTATACGCGAGCTGTTTTTCTTTCTCCAACATCCGATAAACAGAAGAAAAAAAAAAAATCTAAAATGTTCAATATTCGCACGGTTTCGCTGTAATTTTTTTCGGACAATAGTCTGGACCAGGGTGTAAGATAGACAGGTGGGGAAATGAGAGCCAAATGAGCGACCGGATTGTGTCCCCTTCGGGTTTCTCTTTTTCTGTGGCGCCATCTATGTGGAGCACTGCGAACTCTCACTCCGGGTGGGCGACCGGTGGCGACCGGCTAAAATGACGGAGATGATTTCTCGTAGATTTTCAATGGAGGACTGTCGTGCTTTAGGTTTATTTTGCGCACTCTCCCATAAAGTTCCATGCAAATCCGATTCCAATTTTTTTCCTCTCGCCGCAGCGCCATCTGTCGCAAATCGGGGGTACCTGCAAGCAGACGAGTACACAATCCGGTCACGGCGCTGTGGTAGGCTTCTATGGGCCGTTTCCTCACCTGCCTATTTTACACCCTGGTCTGGACTATAGTCGGCAGGTCGAAATTTGTTTGCACCCAGTGTCTAGTTTGCATGTTAAAGCGTTTTATACACAGTACAGCTGGATAAGTTGCAGCTCTATTAGCTCTTTTATCACTAACACACTCTCTCAAAATCTCTTGTGCCTTGTCGTGATGAACCATCTAGAAATATGAATCCTTGCGTAGTCTGCACGTGTGGACAGTCTGCACCACACAGAACTTTAGCTTTAAACATATATAGTCCTCAGCCTGTACCTGTTTAAACCCGAAAGGGCATATTACATAGTGTAGCTACTTGTACACATAAAATTGCCATGCAGATTTAAACACTGCTCATGACGTGGCACGAGCTTTCCAATGCCCCCATTGGAGAAGCCTGGGATCCCACTCATTTGATCAAACGTCAACAAGACCCTGAGTCACCACAGACATGTGAGGGAACTGCATGAAGTTTCGGCGAGAACGAACAAATGTCCATGGTAATGGTGGTCAGGACAGAATGTCCGTCGTGACTAATGGTCTTGTTAAGGGGTGATGAAATGACAGAGAACACATGCAGTAACTTTCTTGGAGGAAGGAGGGTATCCAAAAACTTCTGCCACTTTATGATAAATGTCTAGATCTGCATGGTGATTATGTGAAAAGTAGATACAGTATGTAACTCATATTTGTGTTTATTTAAACATATTTCATCACTTGGTTTTTTATTCAGTTCATGAGAGGTAGAACAAAAAACAGCCCTTGTATACATGCCACTCCCCCCGCTTTACTGTAATATCCCAAGAGATTGCCTAGCTAAAATCAAGAGCAAATCAAGTGAAAATATGGAGTGAGCTAACTTTCGGTCTACAATCAAGGTGGTGAGGAGCAATGAATGGTGGTGAGGAGCAATGAAAGCAAAGACGACTGTACTTCCCAGTCAGCAATGTTCACTTTTATCCCGCCACAGCTAACTAGCCACATTTACGCCGAGGCCATCATTGATAGCAACACTACTATTACTAAAAGTGGGCCATCTTTCGGTGTTTAAAAAAAAATATGACAAATCAAGCCAAAAATAGGGGGCGGGCTATCTTTCGAGGGTGGGGCATCCCTCAGGATTTTGCGGCTTTCTTTTTTTTTTTCTCCACAAAATTAGGAGGTGCATTGCCGAACGCTCGACCTCCACCCAAACATACACCTAGCACAGTGGTTCCCAACCATCAATGTTTCACAGATTACTTGTGGAGATGATGGAGGACCCAGTTTGTGGTGAGGGCAGGGGAAAGGGTATTGGTTAAATATAATGATGATTTAATAGACGGATATAACTGAGGGCTAGTGTGAAGTAGACCTCTCTTATTGACATACACACGAGGAAACTAATCCGAAAATTGGAACATTTCTTTTCGACCTGAAAAAATAACTTTTATTGCCGGGCTTGATTGATGAGTCAGGGCATTGTGGACCCCCATTTAGGAACCACTGCTCTAGTGGTCCGATCCGGATGCCAAAGTTTCGGAACTGACTGTTATCTCAATTAAAAGTTATAAGCGATTTTGAAAATTTCATTTGGAAAATGGGGCCCGTTTTTGGTAGCTGGTACTATTTAGTTCCATGTATTCGACGACTCTGTCGGTTGCCATTTTCTCATTCAAAAATTTCAGAAAAATTGTATAACTTCCGAATAACATAACTGTTAGTTCCGAAACTTTGATATCTGGTTTGGACCACTAATGCTACATTTGGGTGGAGAATAGGAGCTTTGTGATGCCAAGTTTATTTTTGTGGTTAAAAATCTCCGCAAATATTTTTGGGGATGCCTCGCAGTTCATTTGTCAGATCGAAGCACTAGTACAGTGTCTCTTGGCCACCTGCTGCAATTTCGCTAGTGCCCTTTCTGATTGTTTCCTTGTCTCTTTTACTCGGCAGTGGCTACGGGTGTGCGGACCATTTCCTCGAGAGTGATACGCTCCTGCATTCCTGGGAGGTGTTGGCACAGCTCCTGAACGATCCGGCATGCCAAGATATCCTGGTGGATGTTGGCATGTGAGGCCACGCTTTTTTAAAATCTTCGGCAGTCCTAGACAGTTCCAAACTACACGGAGTGGGCAAGTGACCTGGGCCCTCGTTGATGAAAGAAACACTGAAGACACAAAATAAAGAGGGCTGCAAGTGTCGTATCTAGGTGGCACTAGCTACAGTAGACCCTCATTAATTCTCACTCCAGTTAGCCGCAAATTTTGTTTGAATTATCAGAAATTTATCTAAATTTGATGGAAGATGAATTTATGATTCACCATATGAATGACTACACGTACAGAGCTGATATTTTATGATTTCCTCTACACAGGCCTAGTAATCATAAGCAGGTATGCCACACCTGAAATTTTCATCAAATGTGTCAGATAAGTTTATTCATCCCTCAAAAATGTTGTCTATCATTTGCTGTTTAGATAGCACATGACACCTGAAAACAAAATTAGGTTTGTCCCACCAGCAAGAATGTTGTCTATTGTGAACGATTATCCCCTCTGAGAGTGAGCTTCTCACCGAGCACCAGTGCACTGCAGAGAAGCAACACCTGTGACAGCAAGCTCCGTGGATGTTGCTTCTCTGCAGAGTGCAGGTGCTTAGTAAGAAGCGTGCTCAACGGGGCCGTGAGAACAAATACATAGTATGAATTACACGAAAGTGCCATGCAAATTAAGCAGCTTATAAATACATTGAAAAAATAGCGGGACAACCCAAATTTTGAATTTTGTTTTAATTAACCGGAAGTATGAACTATCCAAGTTTGAATTATCACGAGCCTACTGTACCTCCTGATTCAAGGGGCAGCTGCTTCCATCTATCGATCCACCCCATGAGAGTTCCATCATATGTGCTACTAAAAATTCTGCAGAAGCTATATGGGCCATTGAAAGAGACATACTTGAAGAACCCAATTTGTACGAAAAAAATTTGCTGAAGCTGTGTTGACCATGAAAAGAAGCACAGTCGGCATACCCGATTTGTATTGAAGATTGTGGTAGTATTCTAAGCTTCTGCTACATAAAGAGGGCACAATCAACATGGCATCTGCTTGCAGTCTGGAGGCCACAGACGGTGCTTCGCTGGTTGATCTTTAGTATTTTCGAACCAACATCATCTATTCATACTTACCGATGGCTGGACAGGGTTGAAACTACGAGTTTTTAAAGGCTTGTGTGTTCTAACTTGCGTTCACACTTCGATGTGCAGGCCCGTGATGCACAAAAATGTGAACTACAACTGCAGAGTTGTGTTCCTCAACAAGTAAGTGTTTAGATTTCCCTTTTTCTTTTTTATGCATGGCATCTGCTCACTACTGTAGGCCTTTTCAGTGTTGTAATTTGTTGCACAACCTTGCAACATACATAAGAAAGATATTACATATGCAATACCTAGGCATCACATTACTAACTGCAGTTGGTCATGGGTGGATGAAAAGTCTAGTGGGGCAGAACAGCGGGAGAGGTGGAAATTCGATTGGCTGGGATGTTGCCTGTTAAAGTCCAAAAGCTCATTCATGTAGCTTTTTGTTGGTTTTAACTACTTCAGTAATTATATGTGTACTCTTGAAGGCCTTGCATATTAAAGGCCATGTGTATTCTTGAAGCGAGAGTGCAAGAAGGAAACTGAGGAGGAATTTCCAGCCATGCTTAAGGAAAGTTTGTGTGCTGGCCTTCAACTTCTCTTTCTAATTGGGACAGAAAAGTCTTGCTTATCCGGCCCAAAATGATGCTTTGTGACGATGGCAACTACCGAGAAACGCGGTGGTTTATGCCGTGGTGCAAACCCCGGCAAGTGGAGGAATACTTTCTGCCGAGAATGATTCGGGAGGTCACGAACCAAGTAAGTCTGTGTTTCCTGTATTTTTTGTAGCTGGTCCCTCATTTATTTTTCATAAGCAGTGCTGTGCATTCATTAAGGAAAATAGCTATAGAGAATCTGGAGCATTAACCTGATTTGTGCCGGCTCACAGAAAGTTTTGCAAAGAAGTGTGTGTTATGGCTATGTTTTGCATTTCTTTAATGAAGATAGGATGTGAGATTGCTGTAAAATCCCGAGCAAGCGCCTACTCAAAATTTGGAGACAATGATGTAAAACTGGGGATGGACGTTTCTTAGGTCAACAATATGTAAAGACTTGTCCTTTGTGTACCTTCCAAATATTACAAATTTGAAAGTGGGGCGCTTATTGCAGAATGGGCGGATGCTTGGCATTTTACGGGATTTTGAAATACACGCTGAGAAATCTTTGAATTGAGAATATTGTGAAAATTTTGCGCCTCTTTAAACATGCTGTGAATGGACTGCGTAAATTCAGTTGGTCGAGGCTTTCAGACATTCATGTATGGCTCAAACAGTCGTCTCGGGGTTTTCACAGTAATCAGTGTTTACCAGAACTATAACATTTTAGTAATGATACCCCTTGACCTCCAAAATAGTCTTAAGTCCGATGTCACATGACAGGGTTAGCATTGCCAGAAAGGGAACTTTTTGTTATCTCCCTTTCAAAGTATGAATGACTGGAGTTTCTGGTGGAGCCTAAAATTTCTTTCACGACAATATTGAAATTGTGATTACATAATTTGCACTCCTGATATTCTCAGAATATTATATTTTTTTCACTGTAACCCATCTTCTGCAGAGAACAGTGCCATTTGGAGATGCCCTGATATCGACAAACGACACCTGCATAGGGTATGAGATCTGCGAAGAACTTTGGAACCCTTGCAGGTGAATTTGATTTTGGTCATACAAAACAATTTCTGTAAGTGAACAAACATCCTTACTTCCAAATAACCATTTTTGAATCAAATAATGCTTCTGTTTTTTTATATGTTTCCGTAATCAGCACCCATGTGCCCCAGGCATTGGATGGAGCAGAAATCATTGTCAATGGAAGCGGGTCTTACCACGAACTGCGCAAGACGTACATCGTTGCCGATCTCATCAAGTCTGCCACTGCCAAGGTGGGACTGCTGTCGGAGCTTTCTAGAGGGCAGCACATCAGTAAAGAGAAACCGTTGAACCTTGATTATAATGCAATTAAATGCAAAGGTGCAAGCGAGCTGGATAAGAATGACTAAAATAATCCCTGGAGAAGGCGAACAAGAGGGACAAAGGACAAACACAAATCTCCAAACACAGCTAGGTGACTGGTGAACGATGGGAAAAATCCGCCTGGTCCGGGTATCGAACCCGGGACCTCTCCATTACAGGTGGACCACCTGTAATGGAGAGGTCTCGGGTTCGATACCCGGACCAGGCGGATTTTTTCGGTAGCGCACCAGTCACCTAGCTGTGTTTGAAGATTTGTGTTTCTCCTTTGTCCCTCTTGTTCCCCTTCTCCAGGGAATATTTTCGTCAATTGAACCCTGGGTTGAGAAGACTCATGCACAGTACGACCTAGAAAGGATTTGTCGAGGTTCAGTATAGCTGTTGAAATTTGGGCCATACCCTATATATAGCGAATCTAGTTTATGCGGGCCAAACTATACAAGCATTTCTAGTGTCTAGGCCACATTTTTGGATCTGTTTAGTTGTGTACCTTCTCGTAGCTGTGGTTCAATGGACGAATTTCAAAACCATGTCAGTCTCACACCGGCTGTGCCGGTGGCGTGACATCTTTTGTTTGCTGTCTGGGCTTTCATGATGTAGCAGATTGGCACTTATTTGCTTTGAAGAAAGGTAAAAGATTGAGATGGGGAGATCTTTTTTAAATTTGGGGGAGGTGGGGGGAGGGGGGGGAATGGCGTGTAACTAAGATAGAAATGCCGTCTTGCAATTATAGCATGGGACAACTTAGAATACAGTCTGGTGCTTACTGAAACACATTGAACTAATTTTGATAAAAGGCTAACTATATATGTTATATAAAATCACTAGGTAGAAAAAAGACTTTAAGTTGTTTGTCACTGATCCGTCCAGTGCTTAGAGCTGTTCATGATTATGACGATGGTAATCTGTCCTGCAAAGCGCACGCGCACGCTTGCAGACGACGCTATGTGAAAGGCCACAATTGAAGTCATTGAAGAAAGTTGACCTTTAAGAACAAGGGTCTAACGTCCTAGCATCTAGTTTTCTAGTTTGGTCGACTCGTCCGGCTCGAAAATTGCTGCCATCAACCAATGGGAGAGCTTCTTTTCTTTTTCCAGTGAATAGTAAACAATGCGGCACCTCCATTGCGTTTGGCAACTTTTGTGTGAAAAGTCCCTTAGAGTTTCCGAGATGTGTCCAATTATAGGTTTTGTATGCCTTTTTTGCAGAGTGGCGGCATCTACATGTTCTCGAACCTCCGGGGTTGTGACGGGGAGAGGGTGTACTACCAGGGTTGCTCGACCATTGCCATCAACGGCGACTTTGTGGGCGTCTCCAAGCAGTTTGCGCTACAGGAAGTGGTAGGTTCAGCCGGACATGCTGCTTTTGCATGTTTTGAATTGACTGGGATTTTCAGTCATGCATGTGGCCCACCGATCGACGAATGTGTTACGTATTCACATGACATATGTGCACCAACAGAATTTAGAAAGTTGCCACGCATGCAGTGGGCAAGAAATGTCAAGCGCAAAATATCTAGTCAGTAATACATAAACTTGATTCGAAGGCCAAAGCATCGCACCACATTCAAGCATTTGTTTGCGGTTTCATCTGGTGTCACTATTTGTGCATATGTATTATTTTGCCTGGCATGGGGGGGGGGGGGGGGGCTACGGCACCTGTGAAAATAGTACATCACTGATGTGACACAGTGGAAGTGTTAAACAAAAATGTCAGTCTGAGGACTGTTTGTTCAATTAGTAACATTGTTTGAATGTTTGCCTTTAGGAAGTAACTACTGCAACATTGGATTTGGAGGATGTACGAGCTTACCGGAACCAAATTCGCAGCAGAACCTACAAGGTACTTCTTGCATTATATTTAAATGGACGTTTTGTCGCAACTAATTCTTTACTGTAATTCATCTTCGTTCGTTACATCAATGTAAGCTGTTCGTTGGGATTTTGTTCTTGCAATGCATTTTGTCTTTCACTTATTCGATTTGGAAAACTTCATTGCACTCCCATGTAGTTAGCCATAAAAAACCTGATTGATTAGAGCATTTTATTAGAATAGACCTTTGACCATGATAATTACATGAAGTGCACAACAATCTACGGTATCGCGACTCTGCTCAGATATGCGGTGAAAAGCAACAAAATCTGCTACTTAGTCCCATTTGAACAGCCAGGATAGCGCATGTACAATAAGCAATACCCTTGTAGTCCTTTTTTAATATGTTAGAACGATCGTCTTGTTGAAAACCCGGCGGTGTTTTTCATTTGTCAGTGCCGAGAGAAAGGGAGAAGGAGGGTGAGAGGGTGATGCGTGCTACGCTCCCATTGGTCCCAAGCGCTGACGTCAGCTGCGTCAACCTCTTCCTCTCTCCCTGGCGCTGACAAACTGACAGACACTGCCGGGCACGTCGTAATTCGTCAAAACGAGCCCTTTCGTTTTCGTCAAAGTCGCATGCGCAGCTGGCGCGGAGCCAGAGAGAGGAGGCGGCGCCACACAACACCTACTAGATAACAAAGCCATAGGGCTAAGTGAGATAGTGTCATCAGAGAAGGCAAATGCCGGACACAGATTGGAAACAAGTGCTGCGTCAGTGCTCGGCTTCAAGTCAAGTTTGAGGCAAACGTTGACACAATCTTCCTGTCCAATCTGTGCCCAGTGTTGACCTTCTCCGATGACGCCATCTCATTCAGCACTACGGCTTTGTTATCTAGGAGGTGTTGCGCCGCGGTGCGGTGGAATGCGGGCATGCTCAGTTGCCGTCCTGCCGCCGCCGGTCGTTCTTCGCCCTGGGTTTCTGTAGTAGCTGTGCGTGGGCTGTGATGTGTGGGTAGTTAAAATGATGGATGCGGTTCTTTCCGCGGGTGATATGAATGACCATATTCAAGGGTGTCGACGTATTCTGACAAGCAGAGCACAAAAAAAAAAGGGTGAAAAAAATTAAAGAAAGATTCATTGGTGGATTCTTGGGGAATGCACTAGCATGATCCTTGGGAAACGCCACATGCGTCCCCCTTTGGGAAACGCTAACACTGACCTCGTAACGTGGCCGAAAAGGGGCAGCAAAAAATAGAGAAAGCAAAAGGGAAAGCCAAAAGAGAAAAGTGAAGAGGGTCAGCATTAGCGTTTCCGAAAGGGGAATGTGTGCGGCGTTTCCAAGGGTAGTGCTAACGCATTCCCTGAGAATCCACCAATAGATCTTCCACTAATTTTTAGTAGTGTCTATTAATTTATAATGCAAGGCCTATTTGCCTTCCATTAAACAACATTTCCGGGAGCTGCCTCTCAGTTAAGATTTCCCTAGTGTCTGTGCAGTGACGTCATTTTTGTGCAGCAGAAACTCCATACGTGTGTTAGCTAGGTCTTCCTGCTTACTGATGCTGCATCTACAATGTATGCTATAAGACTTGGTTTGTTCTTCTTTCCATCGAAAAGGCGGCACAGTCTGAGAACTATTCCCGAGTGGTAGTGGATTTCTCGTTGTCCGAAACCGACGATGCCCTTTGCCCACCAACTGCCCCCATAGAATGGGTCTTCCCAACACCTGAGGAGGAGATCAGGTGTGTGCTCAACTGATATCTGGGAATGAGACTAATAGGTAGTATTTCTCAGCTTTTGCCCTGCCTGCAGATAACTGTCTGACCAATAATACGCTGCAAGTGTTGCTAGAGCCTTAGTTGTAGGACATGGACAGCCTTTATGTATGTTCCACTGCAACCGTTTTTGAACAAGTAGATTTCAGTTCAACTAATCCAGCACAATGAAGGTGAAAACAGGTGGGACTACTGCCCAACTCTGGTATTAATATGTTCATAGGCATATGGAGACAAAACTAATAGGGATGTGTGAATAGTAATTTTTTAGTCCAAATAGAATACAAAACAAACAGCTTCTTTGTTTGAATAATTTAGAATCAAATCGAATAATTTCGAAGCGAATAGTTGGTGACTGTCAATACCATCATGGTTAAGAATCTTTGGGACTACCAGGAAATAAAAAGACAAACACAACAAGGTCTGAAAGGTTCTCTACCATGATCGTTCACCAGCTTGCCTGCACAATTGCTCTTATTTCAGTAAAGTCATGTCTCATTAATATGAACACTTCCGTTGCCCAGAAAAATTGCCATAATGTGAGTCCATATTAGTGAATCAAGGTCAAGGCCTCAAATAAAGAGCAAGAAAGGTGGCCACAAAAGACTTATTCTGGCTTATTCGGGAAAAAAAATTGCCACGACTCTTTAGCATGGACACTTTGCCGCTGTCTATTAGAAACGCGATCCGCAATAGATTCAAGCGAGTAAACTTGTTGCTCCTATTTTTATTGCTACTTGTGTTCCAGCCTCGGTTGGTGAACTGATTTGAAGTATGCATACTCGTTTGCAAGTATGGCCTCAGGGTGCCAGCCATCTTGCACAGTTGGGGTGCGCTTGGGCGCATCATAATCCGATAATGACACCTTAGCAAGGCGTCATAATCGAATTATGGTGCGCCCAAGCGCACCCCAACTCGACAACATTGGCAGCGCCCCGAGGTCGTACTTGCAAACATGTATAGAGCACGCTGTTTTCTTTGTTTTCTTTTTAATGCAAAAGCATTAACTGTCCCCTAGAATGGAGCCGGCGGCATCTGTAACTGCGTAAAAATGAAACGTAAAAACCCATAACCGCGAAAAATGGCACCTAAATTGGCTGCGACGCGTCATTCAGATGCTTTGTCACGGAAGCCCGCGGGTGCACTCAAGGTCACAGCGGACGTGCTTGAGAAATAAAACACAAAGAAAGGCACAGCAACGCAATGCTTCGTCACGGAGGCTGTCGTGGAGCCAGCAAGGTTTGCCGCTCCTGCGCAGTGGAGGAGCGTGATGTCACCGCCGCAGTGCCATGCGCAACAGGAAGACGTGCACCGCTGCACTTCCTGCCTCTGCTTCGGCTGCCTCTGCTCCTCTCGACACCAAGAATGCTTTCACATTCACAACTCGTAAAAAATGCTTAAACGTGCTCGGAATCATTTTTTTTTTTAGTTTGATTTAACTTGTTTTGCAGCATTTCAAACTTCGAAATGCTTCAAAAATACTTCAAAATTGTCGAATAGCCCTATTCGATTCAAACTTAGAGTCAAATATGGCATTATTCAATATTTGAAAGTTTAGAATGTTGACACTACCCGAAAAATGAAGCATTCCTGACAACGCCGTAATATTTACATTAGTTAGAAATTATAAGAACCAATAGACTCTCCCAAACAATGTTTTTGGTTCACGATTAGTAGTGCCCCAAAGTCGCCTTAAGCGTCAATTCTGCTTTTTCTTTTTCTTCCACTTGTGGAACCGTCGACGTCCATCAGCTGTACGTGCTTTCCTCCGTGCATCCCTGGCAATTAGCTTTTCATGTATTTTGTTGCGTCCCGAGTTTAACACTGTACGACGCCACCTTTGCTCGTGCAGCCTAGGCCCAGCTTGTTGGATGTGGGATTACCTTAGGCGGAGCGGCCAGGGCGGGTTCTTCCTGCCCCTGAGTGGAGGGGTGGACAGCGCCAGCGTGGCCACCCTGGTCTTCTCCATGTGCAGGCTCGTCTGCTCTTCTGTTCGAGAGGGGGGTGAGGAGGAGTTACTCGTGCTTTGGCTGTAGAGTTTATTTTAATCAAAACCTTTCCAAACTCGAGCCTCTCATGGATAATTGAATAGTCCTTGGTTTCTCTGGTTGATTTGTGAATGATTTGTCACATCATTCATTGTAATTTAAAGGGACACTGACACCCCCTAAATTTTTTTTTTCATATTTTGCCAGGCGCTTCATTATGGTGTCGGAGGACTACCCAATTAATATTTTGCAACAGCGTAGCGTATTTTTTTAATAAAGCCAAAAGACGCAACTGCTCGAAACCGAAACCGAAACCCGACGGAGGTCGGAAAAGTGGAGAGAAGAGAGTGGAGTGGCGGAAGTCACGTGGCTACACCCGACCGTGCGTTTTTTGTCTTTTTTTTCCTCCTTTTTGGTAGCAGACGACAGGACATGCGGCGTGCGATGCGGCGTGCGGGAACTGTTCGCCGTGAGTTATGTTTGTTCCGCTCGTTGTTCTGTACTCCAAGATGAGCTGTTTTGTACATTGAGAAGTTGGAGATGAGTAGTGAGTGCCCGTGGTGAATTTCCATGATCGGCTCCGAAAAGAATACACCCAAGATGTTGCGTGAAGAGCTGGCTCACATGTCCTGCGTCCGAAAAAAAAAGAGGCATTGTGCGACAGCGTTTCCGAAAGATCAATGGGATCGGGACCAATGGCTGGCTGCAATTCCTGTAGAACATATACGGACACCTCGGAAAGCGGACGTTACCTGATTTATATGCTCCTCGCATTTTGTGGAAAGTGATTACATTGAGTTCGCAGGTGTCAAAAAGGAAATCCCATACCATTTAATTCAGCGAAGTGTCGTCCACAACATGTGTTTGTTATTTTTTTGTTTGTTTCTTCAGTGATAATTGTAAAAAGAAAGATATGTAAACATCAAAAAATTAAAAAAAAAAAAAAGTTTTACGGGGGATCGAACCCGGTTCTACCGCGTGTGAAGCGGACGTCTTTCCTACTGAGCTACAGGGGCAACTCTTCACTGCGGGATCTCTTTTCTTAGTAATAATTCAGCCGGTAAACTGTAAGTTGGAAAGTTAGCTGCCGATTTTCCTCTAGCAAAAGCACTCCCGGGTCGAAGTCGGGAAGCACCACGCATTGGCGACATTCGCACCTAGTAAAGAAATCGTACGCGTGCATATTCAACTCGAAGTAGACACGTCGTGTTTGACGTTTGCGCGAGCGATGTCTTCAGCCACGAGAAGGGAGCGACGGCTCGGCAACGTCTTCGTGCAAATCGGCTTGGTGGTCGGGCGTGTCGTACGGGATGAATACCAATTCTTTTGATCAGTCCCAAATTTCTCTTTTAAAGGTAGACATAATTCGCCGGTACCGCGAACGACAGTTCTGAAATAGAGGTCCCACGCCCGTCGTCCGCTGCCACCGCCGTCCCCGCGAGTCCCACGATACGCGAAAAGACGAACGCACAGAATGCTTCCGGTTGTCTGTGGAACTTTTTTTTCAATCAACGTATTTGCAGCTTCTTAGAAGCCACAAAAAATTGGTTTCATATTTTTTTCTATTTTTAATATTGAGTGTGTGCCTTCAGTGACCTACGACTTTGATTAAATTTGGTGGTCGCATCGATACCTTAGAAAACGGCCCGTGACCGCGGAAAAGAGAGTGAGCGAGACTCGAACTGGCCAGTTCTTGATCGGCGGTTTTCGGGCGGAAAGAAACCGAATTTCGAGCCGCAAATTCTGTTCTGGGTAGTTGAGCTCTCATATGTCACGTACAAATCAAAACCTCGGCGAGCATAAATACCCTGTCAGTGTCCCTTTAATAATAATAATAATAATTATCTTTATTCATATTTTGTATACATCGAAATCACTACATATCGCATCTGGATCCTTAGCCAGCAAGGCTAGTTCTGGATCCATACAAATGTACCAATATAAGGCATGCGGTTCGGTCCCGGCCTTGTGCCTTACAAATAAAATGTAGGTTTTACAACATTTCCAAATAATGCTTTTTTACAGTCAGTGCAAATGTTTTACTTTCTTTTATGTTTGTGCTTAATGAGTTCCAAATTTTTGTACCTACATACTGTATTAGACGTTGACCATAAGTATTGCTATAGGGCGGAGTATTGAAGTTATTTATGAGAACATTCCTCGTGACTCTACCTGATTGTACAAATATACGTGATGGGAGTGGTATACATTATTTATTACAATATTATGCACCAGTATTACAGTTCTATAGTCTCTTAACACATGAAATGGCATTATTTGTTGTTTTTGAAATAAGGGAGCTGAATGGGCGTTGTAACTTGCATATTCTAGTATTCTCAATGCCCGCTTTTGCAGCGTTACTATCGGCTGTAGATAGCTTTGGTATGTAAAACCCCACGATACTACACAATATTGTAAGTGACTATGGAAAATACTGTAATAAATCAATCTTAAAGTTTTCGAATTAATGTATTGTCTGGCTGTAAACCGAATAGCCCAGTTTTTTACATAATGTTTCGATGTGCGGTTTCCAGTTGAAACAAGAGTCAAGAATCACTCCTAAATATTTAATATGTTCTACCTTTTGAATGGACTTATTACCTATTTGTATATTTTGCGACTCTGTTGGAGTGACCTTATGTGGGGAAGCGAACACTATATAATTTGTTTTTTGGTAGTTTAAAGTTAACTTATTATTCAAAAACCAACTCTCCATCTGTTTAAGGTTTTGATTAATCTCCCCCTCCAGTTCACCCCAGGAGTTACCAGATGCCAGCAATACTGTGTCGTCCGCATACATTGTTACGTTTAATTTTCCAACTGCTTTAGGCAAGTCATTTATATAGAGAGAGAAAAGAATCGGCCCCAGCACAGATCCTTGTGGTACTCCTGTGAGCACCATTTCATTTGTAGAGTATTGATCTCCGATGTTGACTTGTTGCGAGCGCGACGACAAATAACTCTTGAAAAGGAGCGGGGAAACACACTGCTGTGTTTGTGTGCTCCTTCTAGTCCTCAATTCTTTTTTTGTGCTGTTTCTTACTTAGGGATTTAATTAATCACTGCTTTCTAAGGCAAAAAAAAAAAAAGTTTTTTTGAAATTGTGCTTTTGAAGATTGACAAACGCTTATCATCTTGTCCTGGAGTTATTCCAAGAAATGAGTCTCTTTTATCGTGAAATATTGACTTGTAAACATAGCGAAATAGGTGTGTGCATGTTTTCGTTTCGCTGTTATTTCAAATTGGATTACTATTTACATACCTCACTATTTTATGGAGCCATACCTCCAGTTTCACACATCCAATCTTAATTTTTCTTCTCTGGTATGTGTGTTTGTGAGGTACTCCGTAAGGGATATAAATATGTTGAATATGGCATCAGGTGTTCTTTTAGGTGCTTCTTACAGCTACTTTATACAATAATTTCAAAACTGGAAAGTTCAAGTGTCATCAAAAGCTTAAATCATCCTAAAGCTTTCATTTATACCTTATCGGATCTCACGGATTTTTCAGTTTATTTATTTTCTATTATTAGTATGTTTTTATGTAGTATGTTTATTTCCTAACTTCAGTATTTCAGTTTGTCTTAATCCTCCCAGAAATCTTTGCAAATGACATTTCTAATACAGTAAACTTTCATTAATTTGACCTCGACCGGACCTTGAAATTTGGTCGAATGATCCGAAGGATCGAATTAGAAAAAGACAGAAAAACGGTTAAAATTAAACTTCCTTTTATTGTCCAAAGTACTCATGGGCGGTCTGCTGTCGTCTGCACCTAAAACGTGTGTCCAAATGTATGCTCCGGAGAGCAACGTAGCTAAACGGCACGTCCCCAAAAAAATTGCGCGCTACAAAAAAAAGAAAAAGAAGGCTTTACGAGTTGACTTTGGTGCACCGGGCAGCCAGACCATCCATGACAAAGAAAAATAACACAAAAAAAAAAAAAAAACAGTTTGCGCTTTTTGGCGCGCAAGATAGATCGTACACGATGCTACAAGTGCTTTGAGAGCGTGCACTGTCTCTTTGTCCGACCACGTGCTATGTTCTTCATGGTACTCCACGCCAGATAGTTGCGCTGGCTTGTGTCATTCGCTACGGTCCATCTCAACAGCGTAGAGGAGCAGGCGCCTATTTGCACACATTCGGCTTTGCAGCAAAGGGCCCGTGTTTCGCCGTACGTTGGTGGTTTTCTGCCGTGGTGCCGTGCAACGTGAGCCTGCGCGCATTCGCTCGGGACGAATTATCCGACGCGGAGTCTTCCCGAGTTCGAACTATCAAACTTTTCCTTCCATAGAAATGTATGGGCACTCGCCGGGACTTTTGAACGCGATCGAATTAAAGGAAAAGTCTAATTAACCGAGGTCGAACTAATGAAAGTTAACTGTATTAATGAAAGTAATTAGGCCATGTCAAAACCAAGTACAAATTTGTAGTCCCATTGTGAAGGTAGATGAGCTATGTAAAGATTTGGACAACAAGTCGTAAAAAAGCTCCTGAAGCAGTGTCGCCTCACGTAAAGCTAAGAGGGGGCAACCTGGAAAAGTGCAGTCACTCGATAGTTGTTGTGCTCGGCAGCGATAGAGAGTCTGACCGCCGCTCGGTGCCTTTTCACGGCAACTTTACGGGTGGTTCAAGGGGCAGCTCTCGGCCGTAGCGGCGCAGTGCACGGCGCGTTGTGCCCGATTTGCAGATGCAGAAGTGTTGCAAGACGTCCGGCGCATTGTGGGGGACCCCGACTATGTGCCGAGGGAGCCGAGAGACCTGTGCAACCGGGTGCTGGTCACCTGCTACATGGGCACCGAGAATTCCTCGCGGGAGACCAGGGCGCTAGCAAAGGACTTGGCCAATCAGGTTGGAAGGTGTGTGACTTGCGATCTCGTCTCTTCCGTTGATGGTGCGGTTGGGCTGGCTCGAGCGGGTTGTTTAAACTGCCTTCAGTTCTTTTGGGTGCCGGAACTGTGTTTCTTGGCCATCTGCTATGCTGTTTCCCCATACTGGTGTGATTAGCCAGTAGGAATAAGTTTTCAAAATTTTTGGCGGGGACAGTTACGTAGGTTAGGAAAGTTTTCGTGGTTGGACGTTCTATTAAGCCCGTTGTTTGGAAGCGTAAACAGCAATCTCACAGGCGTTCAAGTTTGCTTGGTGAGAGGATGGAACCATGAGACGTTGGGGGCTTCGATTGGCCTTAATTTGCTCTGCCCTCCTCGAACCAGTTTTCTTACGAAAATAGAATCTTTGTTTTGTAGATTTGACCCAAGTGCAGTAGTCGTTCGCATGGTTATATTTATCCCAAATGCATTCCTAACAGTGGTGACCTTGTACAGAATTGCAATGTGTGCATTCCAAGAAACCTCGAATGAAAGTCACGAATGTTCATGGCACTTTTTCGTCATTAATTAAGAGCTTTGCACATTTTTTTTTTAAACTGCTGTGTATAAATTGTTAGAATACATAGTAGTTTTTGGCAGTGAAGTACCAACTGCATTGGTGCAGATGCCTTTTTGTTTTGTTTATTTGTAGCTTTTTTGTACTTACATTTTTACTGGACGTGTTTTCACCTGTGTTTGCCCTTCTGCTTGGGCAAACGCATGCTATTTGGCATGCGCCGTGTTTAAACGAGTGAAAATAAACTGTCCCTAAGTTAGCGACGGTACTTCTCTAGCCACACTTGAAGAATGTGCAGTACCATCGATCTCGCATTTCTGTGTACCGTAGCACGCTTTCTCTCACTTTTGCAGCTACCACACAACCATCGCCATCGACGCGGCCGTGGCTGCCATCATCGGCATCTTCTCGGCACTCACCGGCCGAGTTCCCCAGTTCCGTTCCCTAGGCGGAGGCTCTAGGGAAGACCTGGCGTTGCAAAACGTGCAGGCTCGGCTGCGGATGGTCTTGGCTTACCTGCTGGCCCAGCTCATACTCTGGGTCAGAGAACGACCGGGAGGGCTGCTCGTGCTCTCGACGGGCAACGTGGACGAAGGGTGCGCCAACATGGCCGCACACGGCCCTTTCTATGTAGTCTCTTCGACCCCTATGGGTCTTGTTTTTAAAGAGGACGGGCAGGTTCTGGGTTGCTAGATGGCACCATAGTCAACATGGCGGCCTGCAGCCCTTTTGTCCCGTCTAGATCTTGTTTATAAAGACGACGTGCGAACCTCGAGTCGCTGGACATTGGCAGACCGCCGAGACCTGGTGCTGCTGTTCCGCTTCGAGACTGGTGTTTCTGGTCTAAGCACAGGCTGTCCTTGTTTTCAAATCTGTCTTCGCCTTTTTGGTTTTGCTTTCACTCACGAGAATTACGGGAGTCTAAGTGAATGAGAAACATAGAATTTTTTATGCTGTAAATTATTTTTTGTACAGATGTCGTTAAGTGGCAGTGTATTTGGTGGGATTTTTCTGTTGACCGAAAAACCAGGGAAAAACTGTAAACCTAGACTTCTCTCCTTAGGTGAAGAAGTCATTAGAAATAGGAACATGTCCTCGCATTTAGCTGCAGAGACGACATCCCTGGTTCTAAAAGTGTGTCGAGCTATTGTCGTGATCTGTTCATTGTATGTGAAGAGAAGTGCTAAAGCTTTTTAGCCCAAGGTTCTGCAGAACCAAAAACATCCCCTTATGTGTACGTTACTGAAAGCTGATAGGACGCTAGCGAAGCATGCAAAACTGACAGCAAAGGCAAGTAACTTTTAGCCGAGAATACATTTTGCTCTCGCACAGAAAAAGGAAAAGCATGCATTCTTTTTTCTTTTAACTGCACGTGCACACAATTAGTGCACATCTTCAATGAGCACCGCACAAACGTCTTTGATGTCGATCCAGCCAAATGTTGAAGATCTCTTTTTTTTTTTGTGTGTATGTGGACGCAGCACTGAAGGTGTCTTTCCTGCTGCAGGCTGCGGGGCTACCTGACAAAGTATGACTGCTCAAGCGGAGACATCAATCCCATAGGAGGCATTAGCAAAGTGGACCTCAAGCGCTTCCTCAGATATGCGTGCAACACCTTCAAGCTGTCCGCTCTGAACGAGTGAGCATCTTTGTTTATGGCCGAATGTATGCATAACCGCTAGGTCTAATCATTAGACCTGTCATGTGCTTTACAGGAGCATGAACCCTTTTATTCTGTTTTATTAAATGCTGCTTAAACATAGTCACTGATGAGCACCGGAGAAACTCAGAAAAATTTGACTCGTGGACAAAAGAAGCTTTTAGCTGTTCCGTTGCTGGCTCGTGCTGCCAGTGTTCATTGTGGCCAGGCGCCTGGGCTGGCAATGCTCGATGCATGCTGTGCTCTGGACATTGTTCCTGTTCCTAGTTCAGTGGTGATTACATGTGCTGTACAGTCAAACCCACTTAATATATAGCGAACCCGGGAATAGAGAAATTTTTGATGTGTTAGTAATTGTTTGTCCCCTTATGTAGTGGGCAGTTTGTAAAATTAAAACTCAATATCGCTTCATGGCCTCTTCATGTTTTGTTCTTTGCAAGATAATAACATTGCTCACCTGAAAAAATAAAAAAAGAAAAAAGAAAATTAATTGTAGTATATCTAGTAACTGCAAATAGAACCCATTTGGCAGTTTCTGGTTGACCTAAAAGAGTAAAAGGAGAAACCTTTTTCTACTGCCTTTTTTTCATTAACATGGTGTTTTGGTGTAAATTTTTCCTGAACTTTAAAAGCGAGCCACTTTACTTTACTTTTTAAGCAATGTTTTTTTTGTTTTTTTTCTTGCATCATTTATTTTTGGGCATCTTGCCATGATGTGCCTCTAACTGATCATTTTTGTTACCTTTGGCAGCATCCTAAAGATGACACCGACGGCAGAACTGACACCGCTGAGGAATGGAGAGACGGTGCAGTCTGACGAGGTAATGCAACCCCTCTAGCCGCCCGGTCCCTGGGCGCAGTCGGCGGCCGAAAGAGTGTGCCGAGCGTTTGTCCGTTGTACCCTGCACAGGCCGACATGGGCATGACTTACGAGGAACTGAGCACTTACGGACGTCTCCGCAAGCAGCTTGGCTGCGGGCCTTACTCAATGTTCTGCAAGCTGGTGCATCAGTGGAAGAACCAATTCGCACCGTGTCAGGTAGCGTTACCTCCTGTTTATATTTAGTTTTCTTGTTCTGGCTAACTGGGCACTTTAATAGCAGATGCTGAATTACTCTGCATCACCTCGAGTTGGCTTTTTATATAGTGCAACGTTGGCTTCGCTGCATAACTCCTAGTTGGCTTTTCTGCATGACCCTTGGTTGGGTGCCACCAGATAACTTTACCAGGTTATCTTTGGCGCATACAATTTTTTTGTTGTGCTGGCAGTTTGAGAGTTCAGTAACAAATGCTGAACCTCCGTTGAATTGCCTTTTGTAAATCACCTCAAGTTGGCTTTGTCAGATTGCACTAGGTCTGCTTCACTTCATGACCTCCTGTAGTTGACTTTGCTACATAACCCTTAGTTGGTTCCACTGTATAACTTGACCAATTTCGCTTCACGACATGCAATGTTTTCTTGTGCAGGCTAAATGGAGAGTTCACTAACAAATGCTGAATCTTGCTTAAATTTTTTTTTTTATCGCCTCAAGTTGGCTTTGTCACATTGCACGAGGTTTGCTTCACTGCCTCACCTCCTATAGTTCTTTGCAACATCGCCCTTTGTCGATTTCACTGTATAACTTGACCAAGTTAGCTTCACCACATCAGTGATGTGATTGCTGCGCCAATTGCGCCAAACTGCGCCAAGGGGCTAACCCTGCTACATCCTGCTACATTTTGCCAAAATATGGGTAATCTGCACTAAGCCTGCGCCAAAGGATCAATTTTGGTCGCCTTTGAAAACCGAAGCTAAACTGAGTACCGTAATTGAGCACACATGAGCTAGGTGGTGCAAGCAATCGTTCATCCGGTCTTGCATGGTTTTTCCCGCCGTCTCTGGTCTCGAGTCTTTTTGAAAAAAAAAAAATTCAATGATAGACGTGGGCGTGTGCGGATGCTCATGCTGATTTCACAGCATAACCATGCCGTCATGCTGTGAAACGAAACCATGCTTTTGCGCGGCGGGGGTTACTTTATGGGCTGAAGCACTCGCTCCTAAAAGCAACGGCCGTGGACAAACTATATTTGGTCCCTGCCTGCCAGTCACCATGGTCGCGCAACGTCGGATGTTGCTGTCCCCACGTTACTGCAGTTATGGCACTTTCTAAACTGAAACGTAAGCACTGCCGCACATGCATCAATAATCTTGTTCTTGTTTAATACGCTACTCCAAACATCCCTTTAGCTCAAAGACTGTTGTGTCGAAGTATTGATTACCTAGTTTTCTCTCGGTGTTTCTTTAGAGACGTACCCTGGTACGTGAAACAAATCAGCCGCGAAAGAAAGTTAGTGAAGAGAAGTGAGCTAAAGCAAAGAAGGCAATGTCCGCATGCTGAACCTGCACAGCGCGCTTATTTGTCTCCAATTCAGTTGTTGCACAAAGTGCTCCAAGAATTTTTTGACCTTGGCTCGCAATGTCTTGCACTAATGCGCTCAGTTTTTTTTTTTTTTTTTTTTTTTTGTGTTTAGTTTTATCTCGCCTGGCGGCCTGATAGGCCCTTGCGGCTGGACTGTTTTTTTGTTCTTGTTTTTGTCGGATATTGGACAGTTATATTTTGCATACATTTTTGGGAATTAGTTGGAAACGGAGCGGAGTGGCATAGTTTCGATCGAACAGCCATCTCCGCTCACGCGACAATTTCGCATTGCACGGCAGTAGTTACGTGTTTCATCAGTTAAAGACTGCGTCCATTTATTATATTACTAGTCAGCCTAATGATGTGATATTTACTACTAAGCTGGTCATTTTCAAATAAATTTTAATATGTGCCGTTTGGTCCGATGTATTTGTATTATTTAACTGAAGCATTGCGAAATGTGTCATGTCATTGGCATTTCAGTTACATGTTGAAAGACTCCCAGGAGGTCCATCTTGACAATAATTGGTTGATTGCGGCGAGCAATGTGTCCTTCGTTTGTTCACCACTTGAAATGAATATCTTTTTTTTTTCTTCTAAAAATATGTGCTCCAAAAGCCACTTTCGCTGCTCCGAACCACTGTTTTAGCTGCTCCAAAATCCAGTTTTGCTGCTCCAAAACTCTGTTTTGGCTGCTCCAGAACGTGCTCCAAAACGGCTAAAGCCAATCACATCACTGCCACATGCAATGCTTTCCTGTGCTGGTTCTAGCCGCGTCCCACTGGAGCAAAGGACAGCAACAAACGACAGCAACACACGACAACGAGCGACAAATGACGCTGACAGACAGCCTGTTTGTTGGAGTCCGCTGTCCCACCTGGAGGATACAACACAGAACACGGGGACAATGAAACTTGATTCCTAGTGGGACTGAAGTTGTGAACAAAACACTTCAAAATACACAGACAAACAGTCTGGGGATGCAGTTTTCATGTTTCACTCTTTGGGCAGAGAACGTGCAGACAAACACGGTGAAAGTGGAGACGATTACTTTAATTCTTAATTAAAGCTTCCGCTAGTCTTCATTTGCCATTGGCGACTTTCCGTAAACCGTCGTGACAATCGACCCCAAACTTTTTCTGGCTTAGAATTCCCAAATCATTCATTATTTGGGTCGTTTGAGGCATTCGAGTGGAGCACCACAGAATTTCACGCCGATTTCGAGGACGTTTATATCCAAATGATCGAAGGCAGGCGTTTTTTGGAGGGACATGAAAAAACGGGATGACAAGTCTCTTGCCTGCCGGAATTGCTTGCTGGAACGTCGTGTCCTACTTCGTGGCGAGCGGTTTTACTTTGGTCAGATCTCGAACGTCGGTGTATCCATCCTGATGCAGGGGCATAGATCTTGGCTTCTTGAAGCACCACCTCGCACCAGGTTTTCACGAGCAAAACCAGCCTCAGCAAATTCCCTTTCGCAACACGACCGCCAACAAGCAAGCCGTGACCACTACGAACAATCAAGGGACGGGACCTGCGAAAACAATCAGTGGCCGCCAAGCACTTCTCTGAAGGTCGAGTGGCGGAGCGAGCTACGGGAGAAATGGGAGGAAGTTTAGAAGGGTGGGAAGCGAGGCAACAGAGGGTACAAGCAGGCAAGGAGGATAAGTTTGTCTCCGAGAGATGTTCCTCAGTGAAACTGCATGCTGCGCTTCAAGTCCAAGGACAAACAAGAACTTGTCCATCGTCAATCGTTTGTCGGCGCTTGTTGGCGTTTGTCGGGAGTGTTGGTCGTTACAGTGGGACAGCATCAGCGACACGAAACGTTTCGGTGTCGCCGGGCAAAAATCTGTGTCTGTCGCTCTAGTGGGACAAAGTTATTTGTAGTTGGGGAGGCAAATGCCGAATATCTCTTGAATAGCCTTCACTAGATCACATCAGATTGGCTTTGTCACATTGCACCAAGTTTGTTATGCTGCATATCCCCTCTAGCTGGCTTTGCCACATAACCTGTAGTTGATTTCACCGCTTGACTTCACCGATGCATGCAGTGTTTTTTTAGTGTTTTTCTCGCGGTCTCGTTTTACACAGTGGACACATTTCTTGCACTTGCTATGACAGTAACTCTCCGGTTCTGGCTTGGTGCAGGTTGCAGAAAAGGTGAAGCACTTCTTCCGCAGCTACTCCATCAACCGCCACAAGATGACTGTGATCACCCCCTCGTACCACGCGGAGTCGTACAGCCCCGATGACAACCGCTTCGATCACCGTCCCTTCCTCTACAATCCGCTCTGGATCTGGCAGTTCACCGCGATCGATGCCCAGGTGACAGACTGCTCTTTGAATTAGTGAAGCGTCAACTCTTGTCACACACTCCACCATATTTTTTGTTCTATAAGTCGCACCCACCTCTAAAGGGCCGTTTTCAGAAAAAAAGTTGGTGTACAGTAAACTCTCAATTGAGCGAACTTCAAGGGACCCCAGGGAAATAGTTCACTTAACTGAAAGTTCACTAAACTGAATATATTCGCTGGAATATGGAACAGCATAGGGCTGTTCCATTTTCCATAGGCTGTTCCATGACATCAAATCAGAAATGTGAAATGGAATTTATGGAGTCATGTGCATCAATATATACGAAGTGCATGGCAGTTAGGTTGCTGCCTTTCTAGGGTGACCATATTCCTCACAGTAGAAAACTGGACATCAAGGGAAAGGGGGGGGGGGGGGGGGGGGGGGAAGCGGAAGGAGGAAGGAAGGGGGAGTGCAAAGCGAGACGGGAAGAAAAAGCTCTGTTACTATTCAGTTCACCGTGCAAGTGCACACTTTTCTGGGGCTTTTCTTCGAGCAGTTGAGTACACGAGCATCGTTCTTACCCGTTCTCCAAAAGCTAAGCATGCCAAATTTAATAATATAAAAAAGTTCCTGTGCACACTTGTGTTTGTGTGAACAAAACTTATTGGCAAGTGGAGCCACAGAAAAAGCTAAAAATCATACTCTGCTAGAGATAACATTTTTTTACTATATTCCTTTTAACATATTGTCGCGAGTAAGCATTTGTTTTTCTTTCAATTGCGTGGTAATGATTTTGTAAGTTTCAACAAAAACTGGACATTTTACTTTATTCAGACAAAATGTCGGGACGGCCGGTAGGAAGCTCTAAAACGGGACTGTCCCGGCTAAAACGGGACATCTGGTCACCCTATTCACTCATTTTCATTTGCACTGGCGCTCTTAAAGCAGAACTCCGCCAACTTTTTGGTAGACTTCGATTTGGCTGGAAATTTGCAAACCGCATCATAACCCTTTCTCAAATGATAACCAAAATATTTTATAAATCCGTGCAGTTATTGAATTTTCAAGTTACGCTGGCCGCGAGGGTTCCAGGGGGCGACCCTCTACTGGCAACAATGAAAAATCCCTACTTTTCCCTACCCGCGTACGTCATGGATGTACAGGCGGATGAGCGACTCTGGCAGCCGCCAAGTCGCTTTTCGGGCGCCAGCCATCGAGATAATTTTTTCGCAGCTTCAAGGTTGAAAGTTTCTTTGCAGTGGGTAGCAATCTGTGCTCCGCGATAGATTGTAGAAACAGTGCTAAGAAAAAGCTTCTTTTTTAAACTTGTTTTCGTGGGCAAAAAAAAAATATGCATTCCCCGGCAGCAATGGAGGCCAGCCACGTCAAGGTGCTTTTGCGCGAGCTGTGTGCCGAAAGAACTAGTGTCACGTGAAACACTCTCACTTATGCTCGGAATCTGTATAGCCACGTGCTGCGAGTTGAGTATCCTTCAGCAGCTGGAACAGCTTCAAAAGTGCAAGCGCAAACTCAAGCTGGCTGTGACCACTGTGACCACTACGACATCTGTCCAAGGAAGGGCGCTAATAATATTGACAAAAATAGTACACAGTCTAGCACTATAGTCGACATTTTGCACAGTCACATTTGTTATTCACAATTGGCTCAGTGATTTTTTAAATTTTTTTATAAACTCTATTCTTGTTTCGGACATTAAATCTAGCTCGGGCTATTCTCGGGGTTCCACTCACGCGGCCGATATCTTGGAGACGAGAAGTTGAAGATGAGAAGTCTGAATTTAGACATGGCTTTTGACATAATGCTATTCCTGTCTGCAATTGCAGAGGTTTATGGAGCAGGTGTTGAGCTCCATCAATATGTGATGGATCCTTTGCCTGGTTTGTCAAATGGATGGCATGCAATATTCTCTGCAGAAGAAGTGATGAAAACGTCTTGAATTTATTCTATTGCGGAGAAATTTCATATAGGGCTGAAAAGTTTTGTATAAACCATGAAAATATTAATGTCGTTGAGGGGAGGCGTGCACACTTACAGCTGATGAAAACTGTGCTAAACCAAACCTTAATTTTTAAAAAATCTTATGCAGAATTATTCCCTTTCCATGTGCTCTCGTTGATGGGTGTTTGAACGCGTTGCATTCTACTCCAAAAGAGAAAAAAAACTTTAAAATAAAAAAAAAAATGGGTACACATTTTTTTAGTAACTTTTGTTAACATATTTTGAATTAAAAGTTTTATTATTTCTTTCTGCACCTTACACGCTATTATATCTTCAAGCAAATATTCTTTATTTGAAGATGAACAGTGTATTTGTGTACTTTATACGCATTCCATTGCACCTTGATGTTTGGCTTGGTGGTTGCAGAGTTCTTTTAATTGTCATCTTAACACAATCTTCATGACCAGTAACCTGCCATCTGATCTACACGAATGCAGTTCATTCCATTCTATACATTTCATTGTTTACGAGAATCACAGCCTACATGTGTTGGGTCCCATCCCAGCACGCACACGTTCGTTGCTTTGGAAGGCGAGCAATGTACGCGCCACACGCACGAATGCCGAAAATGGCATCGACCAGAAGCGCTTTTCAGAAATGGTCTATAGATCTTTTGGTAAATTACTTAAGCACCAAGGAGCATATCCATACCACAAGAGTAGTTACACGTACTGGCGCCTGCAACAGTAACTTTTCTAAAGAAAATCTACAAGAAATGGCACGTTCCTTTGGGTTGTACGAGCATGTGGGGCATGCTCGTACCCACATTCCGAGCATTTTTCGTGCTGCTTTGGCAATTTGTCAAAAAATGTATTGCTTGACTCTTCGACCTTTCTTTGCCAGCCATCTTCTAATAAAAAGAGAATGGATTTACTAGCGAGCCGCGGCTTGAGTGTACAGAGTTGCAAAAACGGTTTGATCAAAATTCCAATTGCTCCCGTTTTTATTATTATTATTTATTCTTTACTTTCTCGTAGTTTAGCACATAGGCCAAGGGCATACTCTGTGCAAATAGAGATTATGATCAACTTCAGATACCACGAACGCCCAAGTTTTCTCGCTGTTAGACACGAGAAAGGCGGGCGCGAGCGTACCCGATTGCCGGCCGCGCACCTCACTGTCCACCGGCGACGTCACGCTTGGGTGGCAGGGAAAACTGGGGAAAAATTAGGGAGAACGATGTTTCAGTTTCGGCAGCAAACAAAATATCACTTTTTTTTTAATTAACTAGAGTGAATCTGGGAGAACGAGATAGCATTTCGGATTCGGGAAGCCATCCACATTCAGGTGCTGCCTTTGGATTAGGTAGCTCAAAAAATCGGCAAAGTTCGCCTTTAAAGCACATGAAGTAACAAAGCTGTCCAGAGAGTCTTATGTTTTTTTGCACTTCCTCTGGCACAGCTTGTTTTGGTGCCGTGACGAAGCCATACCGCAACGGCATCATTCACTGGCTCAAAATATCCCGTGCAGAGTCGTTTCCTGCTAAGATTGAACGCAGTTTCTCCTTCAGGCTTCGACTTTTGTTCCCTATCATTGACAACATCGACGGTGGAATCCCATAGTCCTTCGCAACGTCCGCTTGCCTTTGACCGTTGTTCAGACGCTGAAGGATTTTGAGCTTGTCTGATAGAGACAACTCCTTCCGTTTTGTCGTACTCATTACGAAGGTGGGCGCTCAAACTGCCATCCTGCTGTTGTTACCCAAAACTAAGATGGCCGAATGGAATTGATGACTAAGAAAAAACACACACCATATGGTTGGTTCTTGTCTACAGCACCGCTGCTTTGCCTCGGCAACGCTGTAAACGCCAGCAATGTTACGCTGCCGCTGCTGCAGACGCGGCGTCGGCTACGCCTGCACTGCAGGGCACAAAGCTTCGTTGAACTGATTGCAAACATAATCCTGGGTCCATTGATCAAGTTCGCTGAACTGAAATATTCGCTATTCCGAAATTCGTTTAACTGCAACAGTTTTGCATAGAGTGCATAGGAAAACCGCCGGGGATTTTTCGAAGTTCGCTATTCTGAGATATTTGTTAAACCGACATTCACTCAAGTGAGAGCTTATTGCATAAGTTGCACCTATATATGCAGAATGTTCCCAGTGGATCTTGCACTGTAAAACGAGTTGGGAAAATCGTTGTCTTCACATAGGAAGCTCAAACTTTCATGGAATGCACATTGAGGTGGTGCGTTTCCTTGTGAAATTTCAAAGCAGAGTTCTCTTCCTGTAAAAAAACGAGAACAAACTTTCTCAAGTCAACGGCGGGCACGTTTGGAGACGACCCAGTTGGCAATGAAGGTAACTTAAGGCTTTGCTCCCAATAATAGGCCCTCCTGTGCATAGGAAAAAAGCAGGATATTCTAGGCTTTATTTTTTCTCTGAAACCCACTCATGAAATTTGGGCGTAACAAATACAGTGCAATCCACTTGTAACGACACCACATATATAACAATGTCCTGCTTGTAACGATCAGTTTCTAGAGTTTTTGAACTAGAAACGAATCAGTTAGAAAGATTGAATTTTCGGGTTTTCTCATTGTTATAGGTGGATTGCACTGTACTACCTAAAGACACCTCTGTGAAAAGTTTTAATGCACTCCATTCATTATTTATATAAATTTTTATTATATTTTCGATCTGTACACCCTAGTTCGTAACATTCCCCTACCGACTGTGGCACCTCGAAAGACTCTGCTTTTACTTTCGCCGTGTCCTTGCCCTAACCGGGTTCTGCCGTCCGCACCACAGGTGAAGCTCATGGAGGTGCAGAGGGACACAAAGTCCACGAGTTCCGCCGCTCCAGCATCCTGGAAGCCTGATTCCAAGTTTCTGCCAGCTAGGGAAGAACCTAGGGACACCAAGGAGACCCATCCGGCACCCGGGGACAAACTAGGGAGCATGTCGTCCCTTTGTGGGGATTTGGGCATCTATGTGTCCGACGGATCCTGGAACAGCCCCTCGTCACTCACTTTCCCGTCATTCCCCGAACTCGGCGGAAACGTCGCCAAGTTCGGGCAACATTTGGCTACAAAGTGTTCCGGCAGCACAGCATTGGGTACAAGTGACGTGAATTCTAGAGTTTGGCTGCTTTGATGGGGAAGAGAACTTTACTGGTCTCTTTTTAGTTCTTTTATCGCATCCCCAGCGTTGCATTTTACCTGGATATGTGTCGAGCCAAGCCGAGCAGTTGAAACACTGGCATTTAACTCCTTGTACTCAGTTCTTTCTCCAGTGTTGCGTTTTCCCTGAAGAAAACATACAGAGCCAAACCAAGCTGAGTCAAGCAGCCAAAAAACTGGTGTTTGAACTCTGGTTTGCCCTTGCTTCTATATATTTTTCGTCACTCTGAAAGCTTGCATTGAATTCTCATTATGGGCGACCTTGGTGTCGACGGGAACTCTGTGACGCAACTCAAAATATTTTCGGATCATGTTGTGTTTTTGATCTCGACGTACGAGGAAATGTGACGCGAGTGGGCAAACTCGTAGCAGGTAGCCACGAGTTTGGCACGTCGCCATATACCCAGTGCCCTCATAATAGGTATTCCAATTCTGACAGTTTTTCAAGCTCCTTTTTTAGCATAGGTAGTCCGCAAACACGAGACTATCATTCGTAACCCAAGGCACTCATTTCGGCGTAGTCTTTAATCCTATGCGGAGCGAAAGTTCATCTGCTTCTTGAGCAGGGATTGCATCGACGTCAGAACACCGAGCTCCGATTGGAAGGATAGGGAGTAGATCTCAGGGTGGCTAGCATAGGGTTCTCCCCACCGTCCCTCCATCGGAGCCAATTAGAGTTTAACGTTCCGACATCAATGCAACCTCTGCAAAAGAAGCAGACGAACTTGCACTCCGCATAATCACCGACGGGCTGAGAACAGGGCATCTTTTGAACGCCTGGCCACGCAGCTTAAGAAGCCAAAGCATCGTCGAAGGAAGCCTGCACTGGAGGTGGAGCAACCAAAGCTCCTCCCCGACATTCTCATAGCAGTTGACGAGCTAACTTTAATCCCATCTACTTGTATTTTATTTAGACTCAAAAACTACTTAAAGCAACGTCTGTATTTGAAACCATCTTGCCACACTGCACCTGCTTCCACGGGTATCGAGTCAAGAGTAGATTTTTTTTTGTTTCATCCGCTATGTTGTGAAGACGTGCTGAAAGTGACATTGGGATACTGCCATGCTAGTCTTGAAGTGCTCAGACATGTTTTGCTTGCAGTGTACGCTGCAATGAGCAGCATTCATTTCACAGGCAATAAGATTTCTTCGAACAAAGCCACGGTATGCCCGCAGATGCAGTACTTTGTATTGCATCTGCGGGCTCCAAATTTGGTTCCAGTTTGCTGTAGCAAATTGGAAAGTATAGGCTCGTTGACAGAGTTGCGTCGACTGTGTTGTTCCGTGCAGTGCAGTTGCCTCGTCGTCAGGGTTGCCATAGCAGCAGCTCCACGCAAGCAGTCTTGACGCAACTGTGTTATAGGTACCAACAAAGTCTGCGGTCTTTAGAGGTATTTTGTTTCAGTATTCTTTTATGCTTTTTTACACTACTTTGTGTCCAAACTGTGGCATAACTGCCAAATGGAACAATGAACGAGTTCTTCAAATAAAGTTTGTTTATTATGCATGTCATCTCTGGTAAACGTTAAAAAAAAAAAAAAAAAAAAGATCTGAAATGGTGTATTTTTAGGTCAATATACGTACATAGCTTCGATTTTCACAAGTTCTTTACACTATACATCTTCAATTTTCTGTACAACGAAGGGATGCTGTAATTCAAGGTCTCTGGAAAAAATATGTATATAAAAGAAAAGGAAAATCGGATAATCTTATTTTTACACTTGTGTGGTGCATTTAAAAAACTTTTGAACTACAAAAAAAAAAAAAGAAATTGTGCACAAATTGATTTTCATTTGATCCGGTCTTTGTGTTTCTATCGTTTGCTAGTACATATCCTGCAATTTCTCGTACAAAAAAATGGCTGATAGTTTTCTCGGAATGAGCTGCAATTTGGGGGCACAAGCCAAACAAGCGCAGCGCTGTTCAGCATCCAGTTCATGCACAAGGTGTAGCAATACCAGACATCACAGTCCTGAAATAATTATAGTAGCTCCATTACACTAAGTTTGGCCACCAACACAACATCAAAAAAAAAAAAAAAACTACACCCCAAGGTGTTCAAAAACAATCGCTAGAAATCGTTGCCTTCCTTTTTTTGTTGCACCTTTCCTTGCTGCAACATCTGAAACGGCTTTTCAAGTTTTCAACAAGATTAACCACACAAGTTTTTCACAACATCCGTCTTTACAGTCCATTACAGTTGAAGTCGCCGACACTGACCCTGCCACATAAGAAGGTTTAAGAAGTCGAAGGCAAAGCTGTCTTCAACAGAGGAGATGTAGTCACTTTCACAAGATGTTCAAACATGTTTCCAAGCACACGACAAAAAGAAACTGCTTCCAGCTACATAACTGGAGATGCTCTTGCTTAAAAAATGCTTGACTAAGGTAACACTGTCTGGAAAAATCCTTGTTAAACAAAGCTTATCGGAGAAAAACAACAACAATGACATTTTCAACAAAAAAGATGGCTGTTTCTAACAAGATCATGAAGAATGCCTTCGATCAATGAATAGACGAAGCATGTTTGAGACACAAAAAGAAAATGTTTTCTATGAAATCGAAGGAGACAAAGCGTTTCGGACAAAGAACACCGTCTGCCAAAACTGCACCTTTCTCTTCACAAACCAGTCCGAGGCAGCTACGCACGACTAATCTGTGCTGAACAATGACATCTTCCAACAAAACCGCCCAAGGCGAGACGTTTCGAGACAACGTCTTCCATGAAACCGTAGCAGCAGACGAAACTGTCCAAGCCGGGGAGGCCTCCAAATAAGACGTCTAATGACGCCGTTCCGGACAGAGCAGTCTTGGACAAAAACCATGCAAGATGAAGACGTCAATAAAGAGAACTTTGGTAGGGAAAGAGACAAAAAGAAAAGTAAATTCACAGGGGGTTTGTCACTCCGTCTTTTTCAGCTCCGCCGGCTTTGGAGAGTCTGCCAGCGGCAGCGGCTGGTCTCCGGACGACGACGGCAGGTCGCCGTTCGCTTGGTCGGACGTCGTCGCACCATCGTTGTCCACGGCGCTCGTGCCAAACTCGTTGACTCTGGTGGGGTCGACCCGGTAGATCCAGCGCTGGTAGAGGAATATTAGGAAGACAATGTCTGCGGAGAGAAAGAAAAAAACGGCATGTCGTTACTGTAACATACCTGCCAACTCTTCCGAATTTTTCGTAAAATGTACGAATTGAGACTAATTTTACGATTTTACGAATCTTGCTTCAAATCTTACGAAAAATATATTTTTTAATTTTTTTTTTTTTCTTTTTGTCTTGTAACTCCGTTGTTGGCGGTAGCTTCACTGCCACAAGAGGACGATAGGTACCGTCCACAGCAGGGTCGTGGTTTTTACTATCCGTCTATCCAGTGGCCACGGATCGAAAGCCAATCCAAAGCTCAAAGCCTCTGTTCGTATGTTCGGCGGTGCAGGGGTGCACGTTGGTTCGGCGTGTTCAGACGTTGTTGGGACTCGTTGTTTCGGTCAGTTTCGAGGCGAGAAGTACGGCGTCTGTGTTTGTTGCACGTGTAACTGTAGCATTCTCCTGGTCACTTTGGCTTCGCGGCGCAATGCTGAACTCAAAACCTCAAAAGAGGTACTTTCGGGTGTTCCTGAAGTCCTGCACGTCGAAATTTCTGTGCTTCGTGCCGCCCAAAAAGCGAGAGAAGTTCGGATTTTGGAGCACGTGCACGTGTGATGTAAGCGTTTCGCGCGCTGGCCAGGCTGACATTAAGCTGCACATCGCTTCGCGTACCCCCCCCCCCCCCCGCGGCTGCGGGACTTTTACGAATTTGGAAGTCCACAGGTTGGCAGGTATGCTGTAATTTCTTGTGTAAAAAGTCCTCCGCCGAAAAATGGCCCATCCCATTTTTTTTTTTTTTAGCTAAACACTGATAGGCAGCCTTAGAACAGTGCACACTAAAGCTTCGCGTACGCAAACAATGGCATTGTTGTCACTGCGCGCGCGCCAAACGCTAACCACGTTTTGCGTGTGGTGTTTTAGTGTACGCTATTTTTTATAAGTTGCGCGCGCATGCAAAGAGTTTCTGCATTCCTCCAAGGAGGATTCGTGACGAGAAGTTGGCTAAAGCCAAGACTAGCACAGTTGGAAAATGGTGGCTACCAGGACCGCAGCAGCTGCGGCGGCTGGCGCTGCTTCGGCGGTCGTCGTGAGCATGATCGCGGCACCCTCGCGACTGCGATTTTCGATACAGGACGACATTGCGCTGTTACGGGAGGTGCACTTTATAAACGGTTTGGAAGACCCAGCAAGGTGGGCAACCATCGCCGGCAACTCGCTGCATGCGACGCGCAAACGTTTCTCAGCAAAGGTACGGTATGCGAAGGTCGGTATGCAAGACCTCGCTTGCCGAGGCAGCGCAGAGCCATATATGGGAGAGTACGACCAGTTTATCATCCCGCGCCGTAATGCCCCCTTCCCAAGTGAGCCAATCAGCCGGCGGCGCGGAGCGAGAGGCGCAAGCGCATGCGCGTGAACTTCCGGCTGCTCCCAGCTGGGCACGGAGGGCCGCCATTTTCATTCATTCGTCCGGTAGAATGCATGGGATTGGCATCTAAATTTCGGTTATTTCCTTTTATATCGCTGGCCCTGGCAAGAAAAAACGAGTCTAAAATGTTACTCTGAACCAAAACACTTTTTTCTCAAGTTGCAGCATTTCGCACGTGAAATAAAAATTGTCACTATCTTGGTGGCGCTGCAGGCACGAGATGCTTGGGGTTTTCTGTCGCAGCGGAGAAACGCTATTCCGAAACACCTTTTCGTGCCATGCGCTAACGCAAGCGCTAAATTTAGCGCTAAAATTGCGTATGTTATTCTAAAACTTCTCAAGTTTTAGAATGTGACGAACCTGTGACGAGCGAGTTTATAGCAGGTGTTCTCGCACATTTATTCCACCACGAAACCGGAGTTTACCATGTCCGCGATCTGCGCGGGTGATGCCTGTGATGTGCGAGTTCGTGGCAGGGTCCCGCATGTTTTTTGCACCGTGAAATGCGAACCTACTGTATCCGCGACTTGCAGCATCGGTTCCCGTGACTTGGGAACTAGTAGCGAGTACCTGTGTGCTTAATGCAGACTGTGGAATGCATATTTTCCATGCCTGCATTCCTGCATTATGCAGTTCACATTGTTCCTTTGCCAAGACTGTAGCCGAAGCTACAAGAGCGAGATACGAGACATCGGTTTTGGAACGTTTTTCCGCAGAATGAGCGCAGGCTAACACGTGCTTGGTGCTTTGAGCAAGTCCCCAGATTGCCTACCCATATTTTTAACCGTTTATCTCTTCATTGTGGGTGGGCGTTTAATAGGGATTCTACGGTGTATGCCCAACATCTAGGTTACCGTAACGATTCTACTTCCATTACCGCACGGTATGTGGCGCCACTCACCATCCCTGAAGCAGCCCAGCCGGTACATGGTGGGCATCTTGATGACGAAGGCGAAGATGTCGTCTATGAAGGTGTTGAGGAACTTGTAGGTCAGCATGCGCCAGGGCAGGTGGGCCACCGACTTGAGCTTGTAGTTGATGAACAGCTGGGGTGTCATCATAATGAAGCCTGCATCGACAGTGGCACCGCAGGTTGGCACGCTACTACTTCGCCTTGAAAATGTTGCGCGCCATCGTTGTGTCTGCTTAAGGCCTACGGCTCTGCTGACTCATCTTTCACAGAGGAGTGTGCTTGGTTCATTGACTGATAGTGACTGATGTGTAGGATGACTTGCACAGTGACCAACGTAGCACTTCCAAAAGAGTCTATCACCTTAGTAATAGGGCAATTAATTGTTGCGAATGAGCTGGGCAGATGCCCTATGTGTGTGACATCGCAGTCATGTGACATCATGATTCACGTGACATCATATCATGACACCCAAACATGACATCATCAGGTTGCATGACCTGTGTGTCGGCCAAGCATGTCACTTTTTTTTTTTCATAAAACCCAGCCCTATAACAGATTCTGTGTTACAACAAAGCACAGACGCAAAGCAAGTACGCAGACATGCAGTAATCAATAGTTACACAATCATTAGGATTGCACGCAAAGATCTTTATAATTTTGCTGTCAACCCACATGGGCCAACATGGGCCACGGTGCAAACACGGTCAATTGTACCGCAAAATCGACGAAACTAGCCTGTGCAACTGCAGCGACATACACTACATGGAGCCACAGGCTGAGAGGCTCACCGAACGTCAGCAGGAATCCATACATGACCCCCAGCACCCAGGAGTACCAGCTCTTGTGCTCCAGGTACATGAGGGAGTACACGCAGTACGCTGCCAGGAGGGGAAACAGTGCCCACGACAGGTACTTGAAGGCCATCTGCACAGGTACGCAGGCGAGAAAACGCACAACCGGTGACTGAGTGCACCACGACGCCAGACATCGATGAGGTCGGTGCATACGGTTTGGGCACATAATGTTGGCTGTTCTCAAATTCGTTTTAGTTTCTTCGTATCTAAAAAGAATAGTGTCACTTAGATTCATGGAAATAGCGGATTTGGAGTTCAAAGTGAATAGCGGTTTTTGCAAAATATTTTCGATTAAAATATCAAATAGTTTCTTAAGTTTTTTCACTACTGCACCATGCTTAAACGAAAACTTAGCTGAACTCGTGAAGATTGTTCCCAAAGTTTTCAGTGGAGCGTTTCATGGCCAAGTTAATTTTAATCTAACTATATGGACTGTGGCCTCAGAAAGTCCAATGCCTACATTGAGATGGCAATTAAATGATTTATTTAACGTACAATTAGACCTATAGAGACGTCCAGCTATACCTAATCAAGGGAATTTATATATCTTGCGATATGCAAACATGTTTTCTTCTTCACTCCCGAATGTGAAGGAAAAAAATTAAAAAGACAATCACGTATGATTAATAGAGGTTGTCAGGGCATCTTCTGCCTAACATACAATCATGTGAAGTTTGTAGTTTTCGAAGCGTTGATCACGGCAAGTTAGCCCTGTTGAACGCGCTCCTCAGCGAGACCCCGCTGCGCTGTGGAGAAGCAGCACCCATGAAAGCAAGCCCCGCGGGCATTGGCATTGCTTCTCCACAGTACACCGGGGCTCGGTAGGGAAGTGCGCTCAAAGGGGGCAACTTGCCACAATCTGCACTTAAAAAAATTGTAGAGCCCTTCCACTTCACATAAAGATGGAGGACCAGCGATGCTTTCATTTACGACGTCTAGGACAATGCCTAGAGGATGACGCCTAAAACGACTTCGAGGACGACGCATAGAGGACGTCGTCTAGGACGACCTCAAGGACGACCTCGAGGAAGACCTCGAAGATAACCACAAGGACGACACCTAGAGGACGACTACGAGGACTTCTAGGACTACCTCGAGGACGATGCCTAGAGATGATAACAAGGGATCAGGACCTCACTATCTAATAATGCCAAGGAAACCTGACTCATGTTGGTTGCCCCATTTTTTTTTTTTTTGTATTTATTCATACTTGCCACGACCAATGGGGAGTTTTCTGTCAGCATCTGCGGACACATTTTTCCCCATATCCTAGCGCATAACAGCGTTGATGTAAAAATACAAACATGGCGGTTCATCTCAAAGTGAATGTCAAATAGCACGTTATTTGAAACTACAAGCAGAAAATTCGAATATTCTCACAATCCTAGATCATTCTTTGAACTGAAGTGCGGGCCACTACAACTGGTCAGTTTATAGACGCTCCCCTTCGGGATCCCAGTTATTGTACGGCGCCTGAAATGCATCCCCGACTCGTTTGTTTACTGCGTCCTCAAAAGTGGTCCCTGAATTTCCGCCCCACAATGTGGCGGAAGCGTCGTCCTGTTGCGTGCCACAATCCTGGCGGTGTTGAGCCACAGGTCTACCTCCGGCTCGACAGCCCACGGAAGTATCGGCAGCCAGGAGCCAAGACGCCGCGACTACGGCGACACTCGCGTTCGCTCATACTTTTTGCCGGAACTTCTACGTCCAACCGCCGGGACTGCAACAACCGGCAGCACAACACTCCGGTTCCTCCGACGTTGTTTGTTGCCACTTCGGGACCAGTTTAGATGCGCGGGCAGTATAGGACGCCAAGCACACCAGTCCGAGACGTGTTCTAGCCACCGTGGTTCAATATCGCCTTTAATCGAGTCATTTAAACAGACAGATTGGTTTCTTCATGTTATGTACGTCCCTAGCTTCTAAAGGAAGTTTAGAAAAAAACGTAATTGAGGCTCCGGCATACGCAATTTGTTTATATTCAAGATACAAAGTACATTGCAAAATAAAATGAATGCACAAAAAAAAAAAAAAAAAAAAAGCTAACTAAGTCGGCTAAGGGAGCTGATATTAAGAGTATCTAAAAAGAACAGCATCCCTCAATGCAGCAAATCGGGTGGGAAGAAGGTTCCGGTCGTGTGCAGTGTTCGACGTGTAAATGAAACGTTGATAGTGTTAACTCTCGGTACGCCAACCTTACAAGAGTCGTCGAGACGAGCCGAGTGATGAGACGGTTCAAGGATGAGTTTCTAGCGGAGGAACGGGTTACGACGAGAAAGCTCGTGGAATAAACACGGAAGAGCATTTTTAAGGGCAGGAAAACAAAGCGGGTGATGCTAAGGTTGCTTTTATGTTAGTTACGCTCACTGTACGACGATAATTAGTCGAGATTAAACGAGTCGCCCGGTTTTTAATGGCTTCCAATGTGGTGATCGGATTTTGATGGCCAGGATCCCATACTGATGATCCATATTCTAATTCTGGACGGACCAGGCATTTCTACAAAATCAAATTTTAGTGAAGAAGGAGCTTAAAAAAAATTCCAATTCAAGCTCCTTCCAAGTTACCTTAGTTGTGGGGGCAGCGACCCAATTAGCAGACGACGTGCTTTTTCCGTCCACTCACCGTGTCGTACTCGCGGGTGGACGAGTCGACGTAGGTGGTCTTGTCGGCCATGCGCACCCTAGGGAAGATGCCGAGCAGTCGGTTCTCCCTGTCCAGGGAGATGTTGACCACCTTGTGGATCTTCCAGATGTCGATGAGGAGCCCCACAAAGACCGAGAGCCGCACCAGGGTGTTGGTGTCATTGTCCAGGATGTAGAGCAGCACCACGGCCGACTGGAACACGTTGAAAAACACCGAACGCACCGAGAGGCCTTCCAGGGACTTGCGGTTGCGCCAGAACTGGATGTCTGCAATGGGACAAGGGGAAGGGCTCAGAGGGAGAGTTGCAAATGTCGGATTTCACGGATATTGCAAACGGCTTCACTTTTATTCAAAGACGCGCTAGTTCTCCAGAACTGGCCTATCTTTGGGGATGGTGATACCGTATAAACCAGAATATAGGTCAAATTCATTTTTGAAAATGGATCTGAAAAATTTGACTGTCGTCTTATATATCAGCGGTCATTAGCGGAAAACCAAAAATAATCTCGTAACACTGGGTGGCTGAAGCCGCCATCTTGTTTTTCTTTGCAACTGCCTAGCATTCGTCCGCTTGTCATGATTCACTTTCACTTGTGCTCCTCAGTTGGTTACATCTATTCTGTTGCCGCTCCCGGAGTGATAATGAGCGGAAGTAGAAGACATTTCACGGTAGCCTTCATGAAGAAGGCAATCGCCTATGCAGAGATCCACAGGAATTTTGCAGCGCAACGAGAGTTCGGGGTATCGGTACTGGCGAGGCCAGAGACAAAAACTGGCGGCGTGCAGCCAAGGCGACGAAAACTTCACTTCGTGTAAGGGCTGCGGTGTACCCCGGATTGGAAACAAAGGTGGCAAATTTTATTCGGGATTTGTGACGTCGGAGTGCATCCATATGAAACCCTTTGAGGTCGCTCGTGCCCCCCGGCCCTCGAGGGTGCAATTCAAAGGGTCGGCATCGTCCCTTTGAATTGCCGTAGTGAACTCCTCGTCAGACGAGGGTTCTGAAGAATCTGAGTAGTAACGCTCCCACACTTCCTGTTTTATTGCGTGAGAAGCAATTAAATAAATGTGTCATGTTTTTCGTCCTTTCGTACACTTGGCCAATTTTGTTACCAAGGTAAGGTTGCATTGTTTTTGCCATAAAACCCTTTCTTTTCGCTTTTTGCAACTTGTAAATTAGGAGGTCGACCTATATTCAGTTTATACAGTAATTTTGTCCATGAGCATTGTGATGATGATAATTTTGTGGAAATTCGTGTTTAGCCGGGAAATCACACGAGTGATGATTGTATTTGTGGCGAATGGTTGCTGTACAGTTCTTGTTCTTCTATTCCCAACTTAAAAAAAAAAAAAAAAAACTCCTGAGACAATTTAGAAGGCTTATCAGTATTGTAAACGAATAATAAATAACTTATGCAGGCTCAATGTAATGTGAATTTCCTACTTGTGTCATCTGCGTAAACATTAAGGACACACTGCCGAGGTAGTGACCACATGATTGAAAGGACTGTCACTCTTCTAAGCTTCATTGTTGGCAGAACTTCCGGTGCGCCCCTTGCACAAACTTTTTAAATCGGGATATAAAACTTGAAAATGTATTATAATTACTATCTTAAAAACCATTATGTTTTTGCAACTTCTTTTAATTGGACTGGCCTCTAATGGTAATTGCCATCAATACTGCAACTGTAGCATGACCCGTAAAACCAATAATTAAAAAGTTAATTAATGGATTATAGTTAAGTAACCTGTTCATCATAACGGTTATCTCATCTAATGTTCCGCCGACTCTGATAAATATGCAATGAAAATGGCATTCGTCTAACCCTCACCACAATCCATATGCACAACCTCCTCTACTTCCTAGTTCTCCATTTCATCTACATCTCCATCCTTAATCTCTTGTTCCCCATTTCACCTGACACCCTTCCTCTTTCCCCAATACATGTGCACACCCTCTCTTATTCATTATTTCACATGCAGCTCCTCCCTTACTCCATAATTCCTCATTTCATCCGCATGTACTTCTTTATTCCCTAGTTCCCAATTTCATCTGTACACATTCCTTCATTCAACTGCCCATCTTCTCTTGTTCCCTATATCCCTAGTTCCCCAATTTCCACTGCACATCCAACCTCATCATCTTTCCTTGTTCCCCACCTCCCTATGCACTAAGCCCTCACCGCTCTTGAAGGCGAGGAACTCGAAGACCGAGTGGAGCAGGGAGACTGCCACGGTGACGGCCAGCAGGTACGGGGAGGTCTCGAGGAAGGCCTCCTTCAGGGAGTCCTTGTCCTCCTCACTCTCCTCCATCAGGTCTTGGCCAAAGAGGGAGAGCGACCGCATGCCCTGGGCAACGTACAGCTGCCACCGGAACATGCTCAGGGGCTGGAAGGTCAGCTGAAGGTCCAACCACCTACGGCGAAGAACAACACCAGAGGGACCAAACCAGTTGGATGCCGCACAACGAGACCGCTACAACATGCTACGGTATCAGCATAACAGAACAGAGAAATCTCTATATTTTGAACGAGGCTTGTCATATGTAGCAAATGTTAATCTGTTCATAAAAATAACCTTTGATATAATGAATACAGGATCAGGCTGAATGCTGTGGAAAAAACCTTATGCGTATACCCCCCCAAATGTGAGCCTCAAATAACACATAGTAGGTAGTGCAGACTCTGAATGCAATATTTGACCAGCCATCAAAGCGTCGGTCTTTTCTTATCTCCTACCGCAACACCCTCACGCTATTTTAGGGTAGGCCAGTTTATGGGGTCTTTTTGTTATAGGGAAGTAAATGGTCATCAGTTCTATTTGATAACACTCCAAGGCTTTGTCAGATGTTTGGTTGCTGCTGCAAAACTTCCTAAAAGCCGAGTTTCCAACTTAAAACTCGCTCTTGAAGATGGATGGATGGATGGATAATAACGGCTGTACCCTTTATACCGGGCAGTAGCTTGCGCCACCTAACCTAAAGACAATGACAAAAACACGATTTTCCCCCTTCAAGCCAATGCGTTTCTCTAACTATCACCAGGCCATGGAGATAATCGCCAGCCTTCCCCCATTGCAAGTTGCCAGACTTGGGGAAGACTTTACTCCGGCAAAGTACCTCACAGTGCAGGAATCATAACCGGTACACAAACCCTTCTGCAACTTGGGTGCATCACTGGGCTTAGTGATTGCGACTGTAGCTGGCTACTACTAGTTGGCTGCTACTACAGTCGAGACGAGTTATAACAAAGTCGGTTATAACGAAATAGAGGCTACAGCGAAGCGATCACGATTTCCCATTCCCTTTTGCACTTCATTACAACCGAAGTCAATTATAACAAAATAGCGAAGTGATTTTCGATGCCCGTTGACTTCATTGGGACTGGTCTCAACAGTAGCCCCCGTACTACACGTCGGCTAGTGCTAGCCAAGTACTAATAGCCGATTACTTCCTACCAGGATGGAAAACAAAAATCTGGATTTAAATTGTGATTTAAATCAGACCACTTTTACTACAATGATTTATATTAAACCTTTCACGCAAAAATGACCACAAAAATATTTTTTTAATTTACCGTTGCACTATTCTTTCATGCTTTTATGTTCATTTGTTTAGGTAGTATCTAAATCAAAAAATTATTGAGCAAAAAGATGTACATGAGGCTAAATGTGAGCAAAATGCGAGCAAAAAGCGGTGCTCTTTTGAGCAAATCGGAGCATTGAGCTTCCTCTCTACCTTCCACTTCGTTCATGGGTTATGCAATGTCCTACTTACTGCATGCAAATAAAAATGTGGAAGAAAAACACAACTGGGAAAGTAATGCCCTATTGCAAGCATATCAGAATGCGAAAGAAAAAAAAAGAAAGCTTTATAAACTAAGAAGTTTAGTTGCAACAGCAATCACGGACTGACAGCATTAATAAATGAAGGAATGAAATGGAGCACGGCAGGTTTTAGATAAAAAAAAAGTTCTCAATCAAAGCGTAATTTCAATTTAGAGTGATTGTTTATTTCGCGTCGTCACTCTCAAATTGCACGAATCTGTCGATCGACCTGCCATGCTTAAAAATACATCTATGGTAATAATAAAATCACTATTTTCTAGCTACAGCAACCTAAATAAAATTAGATTTAAATAAAATAAGTATAATTTAAACTAAATTAAAAAAAGAATGCATTCTTTATTTTATTTTACTTTGCCTAAAACTAGCTGGCTACAAGCATGAAACTCACTCTGTGGTCTCGTTGATGGCCTGGTAGTCTCGAACCAGATTCCAGTAGTCGTTGAGGTACACGATGGGGTAGTACTTCCCGGTGGTGGGCTCAAACTCCACGTACTGGTCCACGGGCATCGGAACATGGCCTGGGGTCCACGGCGTGTGGTCGTCGATGATGTTGATCGTCAAGTTGGGGTGCCAGTGGGACAGTACTTCCTCCTTCATCGCCTCTGCTTTCTGCAGCAGCGCAACGAGGTTACGTCAGTCAATAAATAGCTGAATATTAAAAAACTTTGAATAAAAAACGTTCAGCCTTTCCACTCTCGTGAAGAAAGAAGGCCAGCGAAGCTCTACTCGATACACTGCCGCAACGCGCACGCGCCTGGTTCCTGCTTCTTCCCGTCCGACACGCCGCCAACCGTTGAACCAGAGTCGGTCGCACATGGCGCACGTGACGCCAAACGGGTTCTCCACGAACTCCCTCTGGAACCTCGCCGTCGCGCCCGGGAACTGTTCAGCCGGCGTGAAGTGCAGTCGTCGCCGGGCCTCGCGCTTGCGCGAGGCTTGGCGACGACTGCACTCCACGCTGGCTGAACTCCACGCCGGCTCCGTGGCACGATCGTCGTTCATGGCGTTGGCCCGCCGGCGCCCTTTACATCGCTGGTTCTGTTCTCGGCGGAGGCTTTCCAGGCGAGTGGTGCGCTCTTCTTTGGTAAGGGAATCTGAAGCGCTGGACGCAGTGGAAGCCGAGGCATCAGCGGCTTTGCGGCAGTTGCAAACCCATTCGCGCTGCTGCGTACGTCGCCGCTCCTTCCGCAGCCAGTTTTCCTTCCCCAAAAGGGTGTGCGGCCGACCCATCCTAAATCCAAACCAAACGGATCAAAGCGTAGGGAACAGCGCGCAAAACAGACGAGGACGAAGTAACACTCGTGACGAGCGCTGCGCTGGTTACGCCTGCTTCTTCTTTGCCGTTGTCTGTTTTTCGCGCTGTTTCCTACGATGATATCCAACCAAAGCGCTCAACTATCCATTCTTCTATGATAGCTGGAAAGGTTGGCGCCATCTACGAGTGATGGCGGCAACCAGACTGGTTGTGTGCTTGCCACCGTCGCTTATAGATGGCGGTAGCTGTGCAGGTAGGTTTGTGTTGACATACCGGACACGATTTTGGGGAACCTAGCTCTTAACAGCTCCGCTGTAAAAAAAAAAAGTGTAGATGGAGCAGTAGACGGTTACATTGTCAATATCTCAATGATGTTAATTGTCAGGTTCATGTGTCAGAGAGACAGTACATCTTCCTTCATTGCCTCTGTTTTCTGCAGCAGCACAAAGTTCCAGGGACGAAGCCAATAAATAACTGAGTACCAAATAAATGCAAGGTGTTCTTTTTAAAATGATAATAGCTACAATTTAGAGCAGCCAATATCTCCATTAATTGTATTTGATAAAATACTGAAGAGCAAGAGCACTGGTCAAGCAGCAACACCCACTGTAGTCCTAGTACATGTTGCTTGACAGGCATGATCCGTCAGTGGGTCGGGACTTGAAGCTTGGGGACTCAATTAACCCAAACATACTTAAAGGAAAAATAGCCGCCGTATTTCGGGCGCTCGACACAATGGTAAGAATAGTTAAGAAGGAAACGCCTCAAATATACCACTCGCCGACAAATTCCATAAAACATGGCCCGTAAAATGGCGTCCGCTTTCAATTCAGAAACTAATTTTGTCCAATGCGGTTAGATTTGGGTACAAGTGTATACAGAGTAGCTAAAAACACGTCAGAGGTCACTCCTTGTGAACTAGCAAGTGAGCAAATTAAACAATCGGAAAACACAACTTCCCCAGGAAGTTTGGTCAGAGTCGGAATGCGGCGATGTACATGACGCCTTTCATCTTTTTTGAGTGACCTAGACTTGGAGGCAATTTAGGCTTCTATGGTGTCCTCTCTTAAAGTAAATTTATCAACAATGACTGACCAATCCGACCGATAATCAGTACATCACCTCAACCATCTCGGGCGTTGCTGCGGTCTCTCCGGTCAGCAAGTTCTGTGTCCGCTTGTACCTCAGTTTCTTGTATTTGTTCAGCTCTGCAAACGAAACATGCGACTATCATTGACCATCCACTCACAAATGCTCTAAACAATAAAACAATGGCTACAAAAACTGCTTACAAGACAAAAAAAAAAAAAATCAACATTTGAAGCATACTATGATCTATTTAACCCGAAACTGGGGCAGAAGTAAAAAAGTTTGAGGGTCATTGAAAAGAAACAGGGACAGATGTCTCTTTCTGTACCACTGTCAAAATTTTTGTTCTCCTGCCCCAGTCTCACGTTAGATACAATAGTCTTGTGATAATTCATCTCGGATATTTTATACTTCTGCTGAATTCAAACAAATTTCGAAGTTTTTGTAGTTCTGCTGATAAGTCGCTTAATCTGAACGGCATTTTTGTGCAATTCATACTTTTTGCTCCTGCAGCTCCGTTCAGTGCACTGCAGAGGTGTTGCTTCTCTGCAATGCACTGGTGCTTGCTGAGAAGCTCACTCAACGGGGCTCAAGTGGGTGCACATGGGCTATGAAAATGGGCACCACGCAAAAGTTTCCATAGCAACTTGTGCAAACGCTACGACGTGGTGGCATGGCATAGCTCCACGTCATAATGCATGTGCAAGTTGCTATGACAACTGACAAGCGGTGCCCGTTTTCATTGCTCAAGTGTCCCCTGCTTAATAGTCGACATTAGACAACTTCTTGGCCCGATGAACAAACTTTTGTTTTCAGTTGTCACGTGCTGTCTAAACAGCACATGACAACTGTGTGGCCTACCTGCTTATGATCAGTAGGCCTATGCAGAGGAAATGATCAGGTATATGCTTTGTATGTGTAGCCATTCATATAGCAAGTCATACTGTTATCTTGCATCATATTTGGAGAAATTTCTGGCAATTCCAACTTTTGATAATTCGAACAAAGTTTGTGGCTCCCTGGAGTTTGAATAAATGAGTCTACTGTAGATCATGGTAAACTTCCACCAGCTCGCCTGCACACTGACTGTATTTTATTAATTTGAAGCATTCACATTATGTGAGGATATTAGTTTAGGCCCATAATGAGAACAAAGCAGTTTCACACCTTACATTTTACTCGAATCAAGATGCATAATGCGTAAAAATGGTGTTAGCCAATGAAACAAAAAGGAAAAAAGTCGGGAAGCAATGAATTCAAATCTCGGAGTTCGCCGACAACTCCCCACTTACGCTTCTTCCGGTAGATCGTGTGAGTTTGCGAGTAGTCCTTCCCGGCCTTTGGATCGGGTGAATAACCGCTGAGCACAAAGTAGACGTGCAGAAAGACAGTGCCGTTGTTTTTAACTTTCTGGAAGAACGAAGGATGCACGTAAACAAAACCGTAACCCTGTTACATGACGCGGTACTAGGCATTGCAGGCCTCCATTGGCTATATCAAACCCAATAACAGCGAGCTACACAAAAATAATATAATAAACATATTTACGCTTCATTTTTATTTGAGAAGTGTATAGTATTTCAGGGAACAAACAGACCTCCGACCAAAGATCCAGGTGGTTAAAATGAATAGAACTGAACTAATATCTTTTTATAGGAGTTGACAGAACACAGATCTAGAAACAATCAATCTTTTAGAATACTTTTTTAACTATGGAAAAGGGGCCACTGAACGTTTTACAGAGCACTGAAGATAATATAGAAAATAGGTTGGCTCAAATTGCCTCATTTTCACTACACAAAGGAACACTTTCTCTAAAACTAGATGTTCAAAAAAAAGGACATTATTTAGCCATGCCTTTCCCTTTCAGGAAGGGTGTCCCTAAAAGGGACAAGAGCTCTCCAAGTTGTGCAAAAAGACAGCAGCCAACTTTGCGATTCCTTCAAAATAACACCCAATGCAAAAAATTGAAGGACACACTCAAGAAAAAAATGCTATGAAAAAGTGTACGGAGAGCGACCTGCCTCGGATGCCCTGAACCTGGTGTTAGTGGTGTAGGTGGCATCTCCGTTGGGTCCTCCTTGCCAGTCCCCGTAAACAATGTGCGTCTGCTTCCACACTAGGGAACCAGGGTCGTTGAACTGGTCAAACTTTGAATCTTCAGAGATGTACACATGCATGTCCTGGAAAAAAAAAATATATATATATATTGATATATATATATATATGGCAACAGACATGTTTGTTTTAGATGCTTCTGCATCCAGGTGATGGAATAATTTATTTTGCCAGAAACTCCTGAACCAGAACACAAAACTTAGCTGGATGCACCGACGGTTAAGACACAAAAAATACAAGGTATGGCAGTTACTCTAAAAAAAAAGAAAAAACACTGCACTCTCAGAACCAATTTTTTAAACAGCCCAGAGAGGCCATGTATATCACCAAATTCACTGTCCCCCCAAAAAGAAAAAAATAATGAATGTAATATTTAGCTTGGGAGACAGATTTTAAGCTCATATCAATGTTATTTGCTCGCCCGTGTAAGCTCAAAACCAGCTGGCATTTGGAGGTCAATGTCTCTGGGATGTCAAGGTAGGAGTAATTTTGTCAGCCTCCCACTGGCTGGAGGGTGCACAGGGAAGAGTACGCCCAATGCATACCTCTCCCCCGCACCTCGTCGTGCTGTCAAAAGAAGTGAAAAAAAAACAGAGAGGAAGATTGGCCTGAACACAAATTCTATCCACTGCTATAGCTACGTTGTCTCTGGCTGCATAAACCTTGTCACACACAAAAAAAAAAAAAAGAGAGCAGATGAATTTAAAATTGAAAATAGACATTTAATGAGGCAAGCTTGCACTTGCAACATAAAGGGGCGACTGGCTCGGTGGAATGCATAATCACACCTTCTATGCACAGGCTATGTTCAGGAATGTAAACCAGAACAGATGATAACAGTCAAGAGCAAATTGGAACTTTTCAGAAGAGGCAAGGACTTTCCACAGGAGACAAGAAAAAGAAAAAAGTGGGCCAGCAGGGTTTGATCCCGATACCTTCGTGTGGCAGCCACATGCAAAGCCGACTCAGCTAAGCACACGCCACTATTTCACAGAGTCTTCTTAAAGGGGCCCTGCAATCATATTTAAGTGTCTACCTTTTTTGCGGTTTCCATGTCTCTTGGGGTTCGGGCAAGCCAGCGGACACGGACAAAGTAACTAAATATCAGTCCGTCATATTTTAACCGGACGACGCGAAAACCTCCTCCATTTACGAGGGCGACCCGCGTTGCCGAAAGCGCACGAAATGTGATGTCTTTGGTCCTGGGCTTACTACTGGTCAGAGCCGCCAAAAGCTCCTTTTTAGTCTAAATACAAAATATAAGTGGCACGAAACTTTTCAATTATTTATGAAGGTAGTTTTGTTCAGTATTTTAGATCAGAAAAGAAAAAAATGCAGTTTATGAAGTCCAGAAAACAGAACTGACCCGTCGACATACCCACCACCAAGCGGTAAAAAAAGGTGGCGCATACTAGAAAGGAATAGTGGGATCAGGCTCCGACGAGCGGCGAGCAAAGAAAGGTCTTGGATGTATGTGGCGGCGCTGCGGTCGTTTACGGACTCGAGGATCCGACCGGTTCCGAGCATTCCGAAGGCCTTCAGCGCACGTTTGGCTTACCATTTGGCCGTTTTACGGTATGGCAGCACAAAGTGGCTCCCGTTTTGAACTGATCTTTGCCCCGTGTTTGCTGTCGTTTGTGGCCAATGAAGTGTCATGCCAAATTAGTGTTTAATCGTGCAGCAAATGCAATGCGAGCCGCCCTGGCTGCCCGCTTCATACAGCCTATCCAGAACATGCTTTAGTGGCGTCCTCTCGAGCCATCGACACAAAGTGCGGCAGCCGTGAGTGCCCGCTGAGCTCACTACCCCTCCTCAAGTTCACGGCCAGTCAAACAACCTTATTTTTTGCTTGTTTTTGTAATTTTGATTTGCCTATAACTTCTAAAATAAAGCGAATGCTCAGGTTCGGTGCAAATTAAAAACCAGTAAAAAAGTCATTGCAGGGCCCCTTTAACGCACACCAGCTCAGGACCAATAGACTATCAGCAAACTAGTCAATCTTGGCCCGATCGACGATCCACTGGCAGTCAACCTCTACCTAGGGTGACCAGATGTCCCGTTTTGGCCGGGACAGTCCCGTTTTTGAGGTACATTGCTGCCGTCCCGTCTTTTTATCCCAATATAGAATCATGTCCCGTTTTCGCAGGAGTACATAGTTTCGAAATTGGCACCAAGCGAGTAGAAGCAAACCGAAACTATGCCTGTTCATTACAAGTATATTTTACAAAAATAACCGTAGGTACTTTTAAATATTTACTCAGAGTGTAAAATTGAGAACTGTTCTTTCCACAAACAGCTTTTCTCTCGCGAAGACGCGTGTGTAGAAAGAAATATTTTTTAGTTACTGGATATTGCACAGAATCATGTAGATATGGCAAAACATGTAGAATCTTATTAAATTCTTTCTCCCAATCTCAAACTTTAGTACCCCCCGCCCTTTCCACTGGGATTTCCCGTTTTCTAGCTTGAGGAATATGGTCACCCTACTTCTACCCAATAGACAAACCACGAGCGAGTCGATCTCTGTCCAATAGACAATCTACAAGCAAGCCGATCTCGGCCTGATTGACAATCCACAGGGAAGTCAATCTCTGCCCAATAAACAATTTGCAAGCCAGTTGATCTCTGTCCAATGGACAATCCACAAGCAATTCTATCTCTGCCCGATCAACAAGCCAATATCTGCCCAATACGTAGACGATCCACAAGCAAGTCAGCTCAACTTGATCCGCAAGTAAGTCAACAATGGTTTGGTTTTCAATCCACAAGTCAACTTCGGCATGATCTACAATCCGCGAGTAAGTTAATCTCACCATGACCGTGCCATTGGGGAAGAGGTTGGACGAAGCTGCGGGTGTTCCAGGGACAGTGCCAGTCGTGCCCGGTGTCGCGGTCTGGTTGGCCGGGCTCGACCTGAAGAAGCTGGTCATGAAGTAGATGATGGCCGCGCGCACCAGCAGTCCCTTGGCGACAGACCAATAGGAGAAGGCTTGTTGGGCAGCCGCGGGTTGCCCATTGTTGTCCACATCTTGGTTGTTGTTGCCATTCTGTTCGACGGCCGTCTGCGAGATATGAACATATCAGTCTAGCATAAAACAGTAAATTCTAAATCTTCTCTATACCTTGTTGGCTTTCGTTTGCACAATTCAGTACATCAAACTCGTCAGATACATTCATGGCATATTCCCCAATCATATACTAACTTTGGACATCGAGGATTTAAGTATGCACTGCCGGAACCACTAGATCATCTTGCATACTTAGAAACTGACATCACATCAGCAGTGTTCGGAAGACATTGTACTTAAAGTATTACTTCAAGTAGGTTTGGGAAACTTGTACTTTACTTGAAGTACATTCTCTGAGTATGTACTGGTACTTTACCTAAAGTATTTTTTTCTGGTACTTTCCGAGGAAAGTACAATTTCCGACTTTAAAGTACATTCTACAAGTTTGGTTTTGTTAAATTTGTATCACGAAATGATGCTTTGTCAACTCCGAATAAATACTGGGAGGGATATTCTACTCTCACCAGAAACGTGAGCAGACGACACACCGCTCCGTTTGTTCTGGGGGCGGCTTTCTCAAAGCTTTCTGAACTGTCGCTACTTCTCAGTCGGTCAGGGCAAGCGAGGAGGTTTAAAATATTTGGAGAGCAAAATTAATCATAATGTAGCACCTAAGACTGCGGTGCGGGAAAATTAAATTTTCAAGCCGAAGTAAAAGACAACAGAGGAGAACGTCACAATGTTTTGAGACATTCTCTTTTGTCTTTTCCTTCTATTTGAAAGTTCCTTCATTTTTTCACACCCCAATCCCAAGTGTCATATTATGATTAATTATCACCAGCTTGCTTGCACACGCACTGTTGTTTTTTTCTATTAAAGAGAGGACATTCCTCTATGAGTGCAAGCGGCGCCAAATCCAGAAGAAGGACTTCTGAATTTAGCTCCACTCCTGAAAATAACTACTCTATAGTCACTTGACTTTATCAAGTATCCACCGCTGGTTTTAAAAATAGGTTATACACCCTTGATTACCCCTGGGCAATGCATGCCAGTTAAAAAATCACTGTATAGGGGAATGAAAAAGCATCATGAAAGATTTTGTAGAAATACTCGTACTTTACTTTGAAAGTACAGTGCTAATCACACTTGTCTATAACGCGCGAGCGTGCGGCTTTCTCCGGGGAGCGCTAGACTGGTGGCATTCGTGGAAACTAAGCTAGTCACGTGGCGCAACATAGAACGCCCCGCTCGAGGGGTGCCCTGCCCAGTCTATCAGCTGGCGGCGAACGCGGAAGGCTGCTCGCACGCTTTTTACAAACATCATTGCTCGTACTATAAACAAACTAAAGCATGAAGGCGTATCAACGATGCCGTCATAAAAACAGATATATCATAAAGCACTTCACTTTTATCGCTTATCAAGCTGATAGTGTGGGCAGGACACCCCTCGAGCGGGCCGTTCCATGTTGTGCCACGTGACTAGCTTAGTTTCCGCGAATGCCAACAGTCTAGCGCTCCCCGGAGAAAGCCTCACGCTCGCGCGTTATAGACAAGTGTGATTAGCACTGTACATGGTGTTTTTCAGTAGTTTACTTCATGTACATTGCACCCAGTGTACTTACTACTTTGCTTGAAGTACATCATGTCTCATTTACTTTGTACTTTACTTGAAGTACTTTTTAGATGTACTTTACTTAACATTGCACCTCAGTAAACAAAACTGCCATACTCAACATTGTATAAAACCGTCCATAGTCTATGCTTTTTTCTTTTATTATTATTAATGCTATTTCTTTTTAGTGTTGTGTGGTCGTTGTTTGCCTTGCAGGGGTAGCGAGGGCACGTCAAGCAGCGATTTGGGACTGGCAGAATGCTTGATTCTGGGTAAGAGTATGTGCCCAACTAACATTCAACAAGAGATGTTTTCAACAAAAACAGTCCTCTCTTAGCAGAAGAATTTCCAGAGATCGGCTTTTTTCGGTTATGACCGATTTTGTCGTTTTGACACTGCCACATGTTTATCGGTGGTTTACGGTTAAAACCGCAAAGCTTACGGCCTAGTTACAGAGGACACACTGCAATCGTGTAGTCATGCAGAGCCCTGCACAGTGCTATGCCAGGTGTTATAAGCTTCCTATCGCATACAGAATGAAAAAAGAAAAAGTAAAACATGGGCAGTCTGCTGATGCAAGTAATACATTCCGGTTTCGACCTCCGGGTGAACACCCGAATCAGACACAAGCTGCTGCACCATAAAAGTTTCGGTCCTTGCGTTACGTCACCACGCGTCGCGCATGCGCAGATCGGGTACCGCGAGCACCAAGGTCCATGCCGTCGAAACGCGTACACAATGAAAAGCTGGACAATTACGGAAAGCGATAGAAAGAAGAGAAAGGAGAAATATTGCGAAAGCAAGTAACTGAATAAGGGAAGTCGCAAAGTGACTGTCTTAGGATATCTTATCCGCGAAAAATACTTTATGACAAGACGTTTGAAGCGCAGCGTATCTGAGGGGTCGGCAGCGTTTACTACGTCACAATAATTGAGTCACCGTATTTCTGCGAGCAGGTGCACCAGTGTGTCATTAGCTTCTCAAAAAAAGAACAGAACATTTTCCGAATTTTGACGACAGCTTCGCGATAACGGTGCCGAGTCCTTGAGAAATTATTCTTCAGTGAAATTCCTAGCGTTCCTCATAAACGTCCGAGTCGGTCATTTTAGGGGACATTCTCTGTATTGTGGAAGTTTTATATAACGAAAAGATGCTAAGAAAATTTTGCTTTCAGACCATGCGCAGTGCTTTGCGCATAGGCTGACTACGATCGCGCAGGAATATTTTACGTTAGGATATTGTTTCCAGAGCAAACGAGTCAGCCTAGCAACAGGTATTCGAGTCGTATATGAACGTTACTTTCAATGAGTAGCGAAGAAAAGTGAAACGACGTAAACGATAGCTAATATATAGGAGAAACGAACTAAGTAAATGACTGAATGGAGTCTCTCACCGGTTGATTGGGGGTAGGATTCGAAACTGTCCCGTTACTGGATTGGACGACGGCTCTGGAATCCGCGTTTTCGGTCATCGCATCGGTGAGTTTGTGACAAAGAGAATGATTCTGTGGAGTCCCGATGGAAATTTAAAGACCGGTTAATCTACTGCGACGAACTCGCAGCCGCTGATGTGCGAGGTACGCACGACCACGACAAACAAGAAATCGACCCCTACCCAGTGTTGCTTCACTGCACCTTTCACCGTTTCGGAGTTTGGGACTTCTCGGACGCAACCGGCTTGCTGTAATTAATTAATGATTTATATAAATATATTTATGATTTGTTGTTAGTATTCAGACTAAAAATATTACTATAGTTTAAGGTTTGTGACCGATTTGTTTCAGCGTAAGAGTAGTCACTTTTGTAACCGCTAGGTGTTCCACAGGCGTTTTCGTCAGGATCGAAAGGACATTTCGAGGTGCAAGGGCACATTGCCGAGGGATTACCGGTGACCCCAGGACCATCAAAAAGTCATGAACGTCGCCCGTGTAAGACGAATCAAACGTTTTAAAGTTCTAATTTTCGCTAATTTACGATAAATTGGCAGCTAAAATGCTCTCTAACCGCGGGAAAAAGAACGGTGGTACGATAGTACCATCGGCCATCTTTTTGTGGCATGCGTGTTCGGAATTCTCCATAACCTAATATATCGCGCCTGATGTGCCTCGTGTTTAGGTTAATTTATGCCCAAGATGTACCTGAAACATAGTTTTTGTAGTCTAGTGTCTACAGGGAGCTTGAAGTTTTCAGCAGACATTTCAGTGGCCCGTGACGCCGTTCAGCTTAGCGCCGTCGCAATGCTGAAGTTGATTTGTTTGTGAAAGTATGGCATTTTTCAGGCTCTCACCACGCTGGCTCGTCGCGCACCGACAACCTCCGTCGTGCCCAAAAGAAACTACACTCCCCTGGAGAGAATCAAGGAGCTCCAGAAGCAATTCACGGTAGGTGGAGCACTCAAGACAGTGTTTCTCACTGGAGTCCATCTTGCAGGTCGTGTACAGCGCTATCAGAAACCATCGCTTGATAAAAGTAAACGCATTCGAAAGTGACGCGGTCGCGTCTGTGCCTGACACAAAAATAGTTGAAGTCAGCCTGCTGGAAAACGAAGCGAAAATTGAGCCTGATCTGTGGCAAAACGACGACACTGGCCAGCAGCGAGAAACAGGGACGATAATTCGCGTTCAGAGGTAGTGTTTGCTAAAAACACGAAATGCATGTGAAGGCCCATTCACACTGCGCCGTCCGATTACGTTGCGAGGACTTGTATTGAGTTATGCCCGTGAGTCACTGGGATTGTTTGTGCTTCGCGTAAAGCGTGGCAAACAGTCCACCGTTGTCGGAACAAGTGGTGCCTTTTGACGGGGAATTTGTTTGCGGATTTCTGGGTACGAAACTTTGGGCAACAATGCGCGACATTGGGAATGGAAGTGGAGAAGCTTCTTTCTATGAACTAGAGGTTGAGAGGTAAGTTAAATGGGCACAAAAGCAGTGTTTCGGGAGTTTAATCTAGGTCAGAGATGCACAAAGTGTGAGTTGCAGGGACCTCAGAAAGCCAAGTTATTGTAAAGTACAATCGCGGGCTTCACCGAACGGTGTTCAGACACTTTAGGGGTCGTGGGACTGAAAAGTTTGCACACATCCGATCTTGGTCACCATAGCAAAATGGAGCCAACAGGATCTAGCTTCGTTGCTCGAAGGAATATTTGCGATTATCCCCCCATATTATGTCTTCCCGGCCATATAACTCGCCTGGGCAGACAGCATTAGTGTATCTTTGCCATTTCTTTTTTCTAAAGTAAATCTCTTCGAATTAAAGTTTAGCACCCTCCCTGTATGTCTCGCACCATGCATCGGGGGCAAAGTCCGCCAGCACACAATGCGCACGGGACAAACGAGGATAAATGTCTGCTTGCAGGCGGACGACGGTGTTCCGGTGCACCTGAAGGGAGGCAAGCTGGACGTGTTCCTCTACCAGTTCACCATGGCGTGCTGCGCAGTGGGCCTGGGCTGGACCTTCTACAACACCTACATGATGATTTACTACCCGAAGGAGCTCGCCCGCAAATAGGCTACGGCCAGGACTCGACGTAGGCTGTACATTAGGGGCACTTAATAAATCTATACACCGGGAATCTTTGAAGCACTCATGTGCTTCTTTGAGTTGTTTTTTTTTTTTCCTTACGACTATTGTCGTTGCTGGCGAGTTTTCATAGTAGATCCCACGTGTGTTTGGTACCGTCAAGAATTTATCACAAAAAGTTTTGACCCTATAATACTCGTATCTGTCTTAAAAAAGAATTTGCGGGGTTTTTTTACTGCAAAAATTGACTATGCATTGCTGAATGTTCATTCTCCGCCTAAATTGAGCCTTGCGGGTTTTGACCAGATACCAAAGGTTCACAACGAACCGGTGCCTTATTCGAAAGTTATAAGTGATTTTTTTGGGAAATGTTTCATGAGGAAAATGGCCGTGAGCACGTGGAGCTGAATGGCACCGAGAACAGGCCCCATCTTCCAGTTAAATTTTTCAACAAGTCACTCGTAAATTTTGATAGAGGTGCGATTCGTTTGGAAACTCGCATCTGGTTCGAACTGTTAGTGCTACATTTGGGCGGAGACCAAGGTTTCTGCAATGCGTCGTTTAGTTTTGTGTTGAAAAAAACCCTGTAAATTTGTGCGGCAGACGCACTGTACTTGGCAGGAACTTAGTGTCGCATGAGTACCATCTGCTAAACTTGGATACAGTAGTGTGTAGCAGTATGCTGCGTCTCGTATGCTGGCGCAGTTTAATCACAAGACGTAACAAAGAACTGTACTTTTTAAAAAAAAAATTTTTTCTTGCCCGGTGCTATATTTAATGTTTGGCAAGTGTTCTTTTTGGATATTGTCGCAGAGAATGAAAGAACGGCAAGGCGTTTTTTCTTCAAATGCCCGGCCTGTCGTTTGTCGCCTTCCACCATGCTTCGGTGGAAGGCAGCGAACGCTCGTGAAGCATTATCCGAGGTGGGGAGCTCGCTTTCGTACTGTCGATGGCAAAATATGTTGAATTTATTCTGAAACAAAAAATATATATATAGGGTGTCCCAAGTCGCAAGGCTCAATCTAAAATGGACTGTAAAAATCGGCGCCTGCGCAAAGCAATCTAAACTTTTCGTCAAAGGTGTATTTCACTGGTCGGTTTTTGCTTGTAAAATTGCAAAGCGTAGCTCCCTTTCTGTAAAAAATGGGGCCAAGAAACTTGCCCTGGTCAACAATGGACGGTGACGCAGACGACCAAATCGTGTTGTGGGGCGCGTTTGGCCCGCATGTTAATAGTACTGCATCGGGAGCAGTGTCCGAACATGCAGCCGACCAGCGAAAGAAAGCAGACGAGTCTTGGACGAAATCCGTTGGTAACAAACACGCCATATTGATGCAAACATTTTTAAGTTTTGCTTTTATTGTTTGCATTAACTTTTAAACCAAAGGTACTTTACAAAAAGATTATGCTCATTTTAATAAACCACGGTGGTTGCTAGCTGTCTCGATAAGGAAGTAGCGTCATCTATCAATACAAGTGCCAAATGCGCCCCGCCAGTCGACTTCGTCGTCTGCGTCGCAGCCCGCCGCCGTTGACTCTGGCAAGTTTCTTGGCCCTATCTTTTTACAGAAAGGACGCTACGCTTTCTAATTTTACAAGAAAGAACTGACCTGTGAAATACATTTTTGACGAAAATTTTCGATTACTATGTGCAGGCATCGATTTTCACGGTCCATTTTAGATTGAGCCGGGTGACTTGGGAAAAGGAAGTAGCTGAATAGGTACTATCAACAAGTTTGTTTAAATGACTATGAAACGATATTCTCGTTTTGGCTAGCTAATGCTTATACTACACACTATATATTCTTAAAATATGGAGCGAAAATCTGTTTTACACGCGCTGGTTTCAGCATAAAATGCGCTCAAGGGACTCTGCACTTATCCCTTTTTCCCTTCAACTCCCCAATTTTGCTCGTCCCAACGACCGGACAACGGCCCTAACTAAACAAACAATGAACGGATTAAACCTTGGCGACTGCTAATCCGCTTTATCCTTGTTCCCAAAAAATGACTAACACACAATACAAAAAAAAAAAAAAAAAAAAAAAAGTAGCAAATAGGAGTTTTGGGGCCTTTGGAACGTGGCGCGCGTCACACGGGAGGAGGGCCAAATGTGATCACGTGACTCGAAAGGTCGAGGCGACTTGCGACTTCCAAGACCTCTTGAACCTTGGTCACAAAAGGAACAAAAAAATTGCAGCCAGCTGTTCAAAATCGGGCAAAGAACGCTACAAACGTTAGAACGCCAGGAGGCCAGGATGGCCAAGATAAACAAAACTCTTGCATTTTAATCCTTGCTACTAACCTCGAGCTTTACAACAATACTCTTACGAAAAAAACAAAAAAAAGAAAAGAAAAGTGGGTTTTCTGACGTGGATTAGTTTGTTTTCAACAGGAGCCCGTCTAAGCGCGCCTCTCAATTTTCGGTTTCCACCATATTTTCCCCCCACTTTCGTTCCTGTCTCTATTTGGCGTTGCGCCGCCCAACAACCACCCCGCAGTCCGCAAACACTGTACCCGCGTTTGCGTTTCGCGTTTGCTTGTGCGCGCCGCGCGCCGCGCAGAAGCTCGACGCTGGCTGGCTGGTGTTCGCCCTAAAACAAACATGGCGTTGGGAGCGAGCGTCAGGCGTCATTTTCCCATGCGAAAAGTCGACGACGTTGTCGAATTATTCCGATCCCAACTCGAAAAGGGAGACGAGCCGGACCTGGCCCTGTTATCCGTCGTCACCGGCTACATCGAGAACCTCATGACATGCCACCGGAGTGTCGCGGTGCCCGTTGAAAACATCGCCGACGACGCGTCAGCCAAGCAGGCAGCTTTTCCCGTGGTCGAGTACGGTCCCATCGAAGCTCTCCACGCCAAGTTCGCCTGTCAGGTGAAGGGTTCGGTGGACGCGAGCCTAATCGAGACGGCGGGCGTGTCCGGGACTCGGGAGTTGATCAAGCGTGTGTCCGACGTCGTGTGGTCGTCGCTAACTCGGAGCTACTACAAGGATCGCCCTCACCTTCAGTCTCTCTACAGTTACCTCACCGGTGAGCGGTTGTTGTTTCTGTTTTTGCTGCTATTACGGCGCGCGCTCTTTTGCCGAGCAATATCGATTCTTTATTTACATCATATAACGGCCGGTGACGCGTTTTCATTGAGCGGGAGCGCGGAAAAACCCCCGACTTTCTCGGAGTCGGACAGTCGCGGTGGCGGCGTTTAGTTGGGCTAGCTTGTTCGGACGTTGTAGTTCGCGCTTTGAATCTCAACTCGTGCGTGCTGCTTTTATTTATCGATTGTCGTCTTTTAGATGTTGGCTGACTTGACTCGTATGTTATGCTTGCCATTCCGCCTTTCAATGCCGCCGAAATTGTCTAAGGAAAGAGCCGAGCCGCATTGCCCCGAGAACGAAACTGCTTACTGCGTCGTATGACAGTTCCACGTTTATTTGTTTTTTTTTTTTGTTTGTTTGCTTTCACTCTTGTTCACGTTTTCTTTTTTGTTTTTACTGGTAGGCGATGCTGCTTTACTTTTGCTGTTGGCGTGTTGATGAAATAAAAGACGGCGGTTTAATTGTCGCTTCTTTTACGCGTGTCATTTAAAAAGGCAATTAAAAGATTATACAGATTTTCGGCGGCAGCCTTCCCTAAAATTATACAGCTGGCATGCCGAAGTATAACTACGTCTCGAGCGAATGTCCCTGCGAGTTATTCGTTTCGACCAACCGCTGCTTCTTAAAGTGTTTGCTGAAGTCTTTAATATTTTTTTCCCTCGTTGTTACGTGTTTTTATTTTTTACCCATCTGTGCTACTCGTTTTTATTGTGCTTCTATTGTTTTTGTTTTGTTTTTGGTTTGTAGCCACCTGCCTTGTAGCTTTGCTAGTCGCCCAAGAAATCGGCGATGACTTTTGTGACCGCAGTTTTCTTGCACGTTTTGTTTATTATTTTTTGGCGGTCTTAACGCATCTTCGTTTGGCGTTTGCATTTCGGTGGGATTGTTCTGAAAGTTTCGTATTTTAAGGGGCCCTGAAAAACAGCCTGGTTGGAACACGCGCGTCAAAAAATTAATTTTAAGCGAATTTTTGTTTTGTTTATTTTCTAATAGCAGTATTGACGGTGCGAGACGCGATTTAGTTTGTGGCACCTCTTTTCCACTTGTTTTTTCGGGCGCGTGGAGGAGGTGTGGATCGGCTTCGCCTCCATGTTGAGGTGGAAAAACCGATGACCATTTCGTTGAGCGAATGACCATTCCGTGACGTCATGGACCTTGCGAAAAATAAATTTCTCGCCCTCAATGTTGCTCTAAATTTTTTTTTTTCACTGAAAATTTCTTGACACCCGTGTCTCAACCAAACTGTTGAAAAAAAAAAATCGTTTTTTTAAGGATTTTTTAAACAAAGAAAAAGATTAAAAAGTCATGTTGATCGGCATTTACTGCCTCCTACTAAAAGCTAAAAAAAAAAAAAAAAATCTTGGTTGAGTATTTGAGTAAACTAATACGGAGATTTATCAGTGTGCTGAATTTGGGTTTGAGTTGAAAGTATACCACTTTGATATCACTTCTGGTATGGGCCACTGCTTAAGTGCCAGAAACATCTTCGTGACGTGTGGACAATGGACCTTTTCCGAGAAGCGTTCTGCGCACGCGCGAGCGCCCGATGCCAAGCGGCGAAAGTCGGAACGAAAAATCGAGGAAATTCGGAAGGAGGCTGTGTATCAGCGAGTAGAACACATAACTGCAGCATATATATAATTGTGTTACACAAAAAAAGAATGTCGACGGAAAGGAAAACACGACGTTTGGGTGGACGCTACGGATGCCCCTCTTTAAAGTCGCATTGGGCAGGCGCCGCTGCTCAGAGAGCGAAGAAACTGGTAGCGTAGCTCCCTATATCGATTGGTAGCGCAGGTAGGTCGCTTCCTCAATTTTTAGTTCGTGCAGCCACCGCCTGGTGCCGTCGGCATGTGAAAAAGGTCCATTGCTTTTTCGGAGGAGGAATGAAAGCAAGAATATTCTACTCAGTTTCCAAAGTTTCGTAACAGAAATATTGTTCCTGGTTCCTTGCCCTCGTGCTAGCTTGCTTGTTAGTGAAATGCAGTGGTTCTTTTAAATTAGAAAAAGAAAGCTCCCACTCGAATTCTATAAGGAGGTTTCATTTGAGGTACAGGTATCTCTTTTAGCCATGCTTGCCATTGTCTTGTTGCAGAACTTGAAGAAAAAATATTTTGTTCCTTTTTACATTTATTTATTTCTTTAAATACTTTTGGGCCCATCGACATTATAGAAGGGAGTGTATACAACAAAAGACACAAAGGAAAGAAAAGACGGTGAAGGGTGATAACAGTGTTTTAAAGCGCAACTCTTAGGCGCCCGTTACCGGCTTGAGCAGAAACGGGCGTGCGAGTCTCACTCGTGATCCGCGCATTGCATTATGGGACATTTCCCATAATAACGCCACTCATGACGTCACGAGGGTCCTGCGCATTTCATTATGGGAAACGTCCCACGATGCAATGTGCGGGTCACTCGTGACTTGTGCGTTGCATTGTGGAACATTCCCATAATGACGTCACGGTCACTCGTGAAGGTCACAACGAAGGTCACGACCTTCACGTGACCTTCACTTCACGAGGCCTTCTTGAGTGACATCACGAGGGGAAGGAGAATGAGAGGAGGAAAATGGTGGAGGGGAGAGGGAGGAGAAAAGGAAGGGGCATAGCCTCTCCTCCGTACCCTCCCCTCCTCCTCTTCAAGAGCTGCACTCTAATTTGGCGTTACAGGGAGTTGTAAATTTGTTTCATTTTTTAAGGGGAGACACCCCCTGGGAGGGTCAACTTTTGAACCCTTGGCTTAAAATTAATGAATGAAATTTGCAGGGTAGGCTGGTGGTCATGCTAGAGGGTGCATAACAAAATTTCAGGTCTGTCGGTTAAGTGGGAAGGAAATTAGGGCAGGTTCTATCAGCAACACTTCTACATTGTTTAGTTAATCTATCGTCGGAAAGCTATCACAATATTCAAGATATTTATTCACTAGATATGTAGCAGAATGTCTAGGAGGTGCGCCTGGGAAGTTTTTTTTGTAAAAAGTCATTGATTTCTATCAATTTTCTCTTCTGCAAAATTGGTCAACTTTTTGTTCTTCTGTGTCTCCGACAAAATGTCAACAATTCTTATAAAAGACATCCGTAAAGTGACAAACAAACTCCATTGGCACATTCCTTATTAAATTTTAGTCAGGAAAAGTGAAGAATGAGCCTTCCCTCTGTTGCCATTATCAAACGATAGATTGACGAAAATGGAATTTATACCAAAAAGGGGAACAAAGAAAAATGTGTTCGAAGTGCTCCAAACCCTACTTTTTCTTTAGCTTCGGTGGACAGAAAATAATTTATAAAGAATTAACTATGCAGTGTAAACTAGTGAAAATTTCTGGGAATACTCTCTGGATGTAGATGGATGTAAATATGTAATTTTTCAAAATCAATGTTTTTTTCAGAATTTTTTTTTTCTCTGGGTAGTTTCCCCCCTTAAACAATTGATGATTAATAATAGATACAACAGAAGCGGGAAGGTGGTTCTATTCCAGAGAAGTTCTTGGGATGAACAAATGGGTGAAATGCATTAGTTTTACAATTAGGGATGCCCACTTTGAAATTGGTGCATGGTGAAATGTAAAATGGCACAGCGAAATGTAGGTGGTCTAAGTACGGGTTAGTATGACATACCCTGTAAAAAAGGTGCAAGCAAGTGGTTTCTTGACAGAAAAAAAGTGGTTATGCAGAGATAAAATGGCTTTCGTGGATGTTATGCCAGGGCAATTTCATACGTTAGTATGTTAAGATTCCTGCCATTGTGGCATAGGGGAATTTCTATAGATTCTTCACATATTTCTTTAACTTTGGAGCTGCTTGTCTCTTTGAGCTTCTTCTACCGGTGGTTATGAAACCTTTGCCTCCACGTGCCTCCCCAGAATAACTCTAGAGTTTATAAAGTCCGATGCTTACGACACAGGCAGTCTGAAAAAACTTTGTTTAAAATCTCTAGTAAAAAAAAGAGGATGTGTTCTTCTACAAGGGGCAAGTTAAGAGGTAATTGACATTAGGGAGGTTCTTGAGACTTTGAATCATTTCTAGTGTTCTTTATTTTTTTGTTTTCATTTCTTTTGTTGTCGTCTGTTGGAATGTAAGATCCTGTGTGAGTGTCTTGACTGCAAAGCTTGAACCTTTAATGCTAAAAAGAATTAAAATTTGTCCTTCAGTCAACAGATGTTTTTCTATGCTCGTGGAGCGCATTTCGCGCTCCACGAGCATAGAAATCTGCACAGTATGTAACCACAACATTGGTGCACATTATACAAGTGTATCTAGTTTGAACGCCAAATTTTGTCAGGTATATTGGCTTACCACAAATTCAAATTTCATTGCACTGTGTCAGTGGCACTGGGCGTGGTTTACTGCATTCACGCCCCTTGCTCTTTTCGGTTGACGCCTCAATCTCATCGGCTAGGGCGTGACAATAAGACACTCAGGACAGCCTCACGCCTTGCGCTCCTTAAAGGGCGACTCAGCTTTGTTTTTGAAAAAAAAACAATGCAGTCCTCTTCTGTATCACCTGGGAAGACCACACGTCAAATACAAGGACCTAGTTCCCTCTAAACGTTTTTTAAGCGGTCCGTCAAACTTTGCAACTCGCCAAGTTGTTGAAATCTGCTGACTCTAGCAGTCGAATTGAGGGGCAACCAACAGTGCAGTAAAGGTTACAGTGTGTGCGTAGCTAACTTTAAGCTAAATTTCGTCACCATTGCCCCTTTTTACTTGTTTTTACTGCTCTGGGCAAGCGTAACAAGTGACGTCAGCAACGTTTCCTCACGGCACTCAGCGGTGTCTACTTGATTGGCATGACGTGCCTGCGCAGCATGCTTCTTGGGAGCCGTCCGGCGGCCCCACCGTTACCGCAGTCTCCCGCGTCACAACCGCCGTCGTCATCTTATCGTTGGTGATTATTGTCTTTAAGCTTCGTTCACGCTATGGACACCACGTGCGCAGAC